CTGATATGACGGCACGTGCAACGCGAAACAATGGTCAATGAAGTGAATATATTGGAGAAAAGACTCAGTCTGTCAAGTGAGAGTACACTCCACAAACTACTTATGATATTAAGAACCATATAATTTTGCCATCTCACCATGTCGTATAGAGGCTCGTAGTCGCCCAAGAAAATACGGAGGCAACTATTTGTATGATTTGGCAGAAGTACCGGATCCCAAACTTGAGAAATGTCATTCGTGGGGTCATTGCTGATTGGAATATATGTAAACTAAAGAAAGGAAAACCTGCCATACCGAAGATCGCGTAACGAAATATGCGAGACCTTTCACGTACACTGGAATTGACTATTTTGGTCCGGTGAATGCGACTGTTAGCCGAAGAACTGAGGGGTGGCTTTATTTACGTGTTTAACAGTGCGCTGCATTCATCTCGAGGGGGCTTACGACCTGTCGACGTATTCCTTTACATTAGTGATTTGGAACTTTATGAACCGTGGGCGTAGAGTGGCGGTGCCTGGGAACTTTTGGTGCAGTGAGTGAAGAAAATCCTGTGTTATACGATGAAAGAGCTGAGTACCAAAGAGCTGGTGGAGGCGGATCCAGAACAAAAATAGCCTTTGACGCCAAATCATTTCCTGCTGGGTAGTGCGAGTACTGCGCAAATACCAAGTTGTGGCGAACCCGATCATAAGCTTTGTTCCCTACAAAAACAATGGGAGTGGCCACGGAAATGCGAGATCCTTCTGGAAAAGGTGTGTAGAAGAATATTTACCAACGCTGACCCGTCGGGCGAAGTGGTTTGTGCCAATGAAGCCGTTACAAGAAGGTGATCTGACAGCAAGATTCCCCGGCATCTCGGCCGGGTAAAGGGAGTTTATCCTGGGAAAGATGGTCAAATACGTCGTGCCGACGGCTCAACTTCGTACGGAACGATCCAACGACCTGCGGCCAAACCGGCCAAGCTGGATATAGTTTGTAGTGAATCGGAGTAAATTCACGGGGGCGGGGATGTGATAGTTTAGCGAGAGATGTTTTGTCATAAGTATAAGTCTATTGCTAATGTAATTCTGGCCACTCTGTAGTTGTTTAAGATTTTGTAACTGAATAAATTTGCAACCCTGTGTTCCACTCCTGGCTTGCTATTTGTTGATCCGATAATCGAATTGCCATAAAAATTCGGGCAACGGCTTTTGGTTGTTCATTTTCCTTTATATCACCAAAGCACACCGGGAGTGAAAATACTGTAAATTAAACTTGTGCACATGCACATGCTAAAATCAGAATCCCGGTGTCGTGATACGTGAGTAAAGGAAGACACAGATTTTATTTATCTATTTCTTATCCATATATTTTTACATTCGATTAAACATCATCTCCGTCCTTTCAAAAGTCAAAAGTGTAAACTAATAACATATCTCATGCTTTTCACTATCATCATAGTCGATCTCAGCGGCTTCTTCAATACACTCTAATATAATATTTCTTGCATTAATTCAACTTTATCTTGAAACCATATTATCTGAAATATTTATTAATAATTAGGTAAATATACGCATAGGCATATATGTTTGCATGCATATGCATATATGTAAATATTGTGGTAAACAATATAAATTTCAATTTCCAAATCTGTGGCATTTATTCATTTGAAATTTAAAGATAGCTACAATCAGTTCAAAATGAGAAAAAAAATAAAAGGGAATGTCAAAATCTACAGAGACGAATAGAAACACAAAGTGTATCGAACGAACACAGCGACACGGTCCGTTGTCGACTTCGTCAAAGAACATATTGTTACGATTTTGCTGAATCAACCTCGATGATTTTCTGACTCCTTCGGGTACGATCTCTTGATTGTTAAATAAAAATCGGCAACTTAATTTGCAGTTTCTTTCGTTATAAAGAATTCATCTAATGTCCTTTATTTTCTCAGTCATTCACAATTCAATTACAATGCACTTTACTGGTTACAATCACGTGCATAAACTTTCACAATTTACTTTACTTAAATGTAATCTCCAACGTGTTTACTTTACGACTCTATACTGATGTTGTCGCCAACGATTTCAGTTTGTAACTAACTTGACTTGGCAGCTGAGTTTCGTCCCGATCAGACACATTCGCTGTTCCAAACTCAGCAAGCCTCTCTAGATGGACCACTTTTATTTTGTTTCTTGGGCTCTCTACGGATTGGATTCGATACACTACGTCGTTTAGTCGTTTGATTATCTTGTATGGACCTTCCCAATCACATTGAAGTTTTGGGGACAAACCCCTCTTCCGTTGTGGATTGTACAGCAACACCAAATCTCCATTTTGGAAACCCTCGGAGTTTATCGCCTTGTCATACCTGGCTTTCATTATGTCACTTATAATTTGAGTTCGCTGTCTCACAAGAGCATGTACCTCTCTTAGCTCTTCCTCGAGATCGGTAGACATTACCTTCCCAATTCTTCTTGCATCGCCAAAGCGGTATATGCACATCCCAATCATCCTGATGCTTGTCCACTACTTTCCGCAAGTGCTCTTTCAGGGTCCGGTTGAATCGCTCTACCATACCATCTGATTGAGGGTGTAGGGCTGTCGTTCGGATTTTTCGAATACCAAGTATTTGGCACATCTCCTGGAACACCGCCGATTCAAAGTTTCTTCCCTGATCTGAGTGCAATTCTATAGGCGCACCGTATCTGGTAACCCAATTGGGTAAACTTCAGGCCATTTACTGAAATAGTCCATAACCACGAGAACGTATTTGTTTCCTTGTTTGCTCATAGGGAATGGACCGGCTACATCCATGGTAACCCGCTCAAATTGTGCCCCTGCGTTATACTGCTTTATCTGCCCATGACTTTGGGCCTTTAGCTGCTATACACTCCTTGCAATTAGCAATCCACTCTGCGACCGATTGCCGACACCCAACCCAATAGAACCGCTGCTTGATCTTTTCCAGTGTTTTTGTAATGCCTAGGTGCCCTCCACTAGGACCATTACGGAATTCCTTAAGAACATCCGGAATTCTTAACTTCGGAACTAACATTAGCTTCCGAGAGCACTGGCCATCTTCATTTTCCCACACTCTATGCAGGATATCAGTTCTAAGCTGTTCCATTGTGCCCAGTATGCCTTCGCGATAGGACTCTCCGCAGCCTTACTTGGTCGTATATTTACCTCCAACCCGTGCATTAATAGCTCTAAATCTGGATCTTCCTGCTGACATTTCCTTAAGTTACTTGCCTCCCACTTTTCTGCTTGCGTAATTTTCATTAGCCGGACGTCTATTATGTCTTCTTTACCCTCAGCTTTTGAGCAATGTTTACATTCTATACTACAGGGTCGACGGGACATAGCGTCAGCATTTCCGTGCGTATTCCCCTTGCAGTGCTCGATTGTGAAGTCATAACTTTGCAGCCTCTCAATCCACCGTGCTAGCTGCCCTTCGGGATTTTTTAACTGTACCTCCTGTCTGCTGGAACTTGTTTTGCATTTGCGCGCGAAGTGACCAGGCTTTCCACATTTAAAGCATTTTCTCGCTTGAGTCTTGAAACCAGAACGATTCATCCCTTCTAGCGATTTCAGAGTGCTCAATATTTTCGTCATCACATCTGGTGTTTCAAACTCCACTTTATTGACTTTGTATGATGCTCTGCTTATGAGTGCCGCCGTTTCACGTGTTTGTGCATACGCAACAGTTTCAGCGAATGTCAACTTTGGATTCGCATATGTCTCTCGCTTGGTGTACACGTCTTTTATTCCGCTGATGAATCTTTGTATCTTCACCCTTTCAAGACACTCACCCGATGAGTCTCCAATGGCTAAATGAGCCAATCTCTTAACTTCCGAAGCATATTCCTGCAGAGATTCGTTGGATTTTTGGTCGCGCTTTTCGAACTCCATCTGTTAAATCTGTCTTCTGTGTTCGCTACCATAGCGAACTCGTTGGCGTAAAGTCGTAAAGTAAACGCGTTGGAGATTACATTTAAGTAGAGTAAATTGTGAAAGTTGATGATAGTGATTGTAAATAGTAAAGTGCATTGTACTTGAATTGTGAATTACTGAGTAAAGTAAATAAAGGACATTAGATAAATTCTTTGTAACGAAAGAAACTGCAAATTAAGTTGGCGAGTTTTTATTTAACAATCCAGAGATCGTACCCGAAGGAATCAGAAAATCAGCGAGGTTGATTTAGCAAAACCGTAACAATACGTATATATTAATATACGTTCTTTGGCCGAGTCTTCAATTTCGTCCGGTCCCCTATTGGGTTTTGTACGTGCTCAGCAATCTGATGTGGCTTAACATTTCCGCCTTGTCATTATAATAATAGCCTGTTTCCACCAAGCACTTAAATTCATTTAAGGCCTCTGTTAAGTGAATGAAATGTCAAACGTTTCTATCGAAAGTCAGTTAACTCAATCGATCGTTATCCGATTTTTGTTCACGTTTGCAGTTTGCAAAATTTGTCGCAAGTATTGAAGTCATGAATTCAATAGACCCCATTCATTTTATTTTGCTATTTATGCAATCTTATGACTTGCAAGTGCAGATTATTCCTGCACGGACAAACGTTGCACTAACGAAAATGCTTTTATACATGCTTCCATGTTCACATTTGCTTGTTTGTTCCCTCAAACTATTTATTTTGCGAAATCATATTGTATCTTTTGAAAGAGGAGGAAGCATTCTCTTCGCAAATTACTTAATATAATATATGCATTTATGTTAAAACTATAGCAAAGAAATAATTTTGCAAACAAAACTTCATCATGCAAAAATAAACGATTCATTAAATCCGAAAATAAACGACTTTGGCAAGAAATATACCGAAACTTCCGAAATGATTACATTAGTAGTGCCAGCAATGACTATTAAAATAACATTTTCTGCTAAAATACCAAAAGAGAGTTAACTCACTTTGATATAACAACATGCTTTTAGCCTAATGCATTTAACGGCCGGTGGAAATAGGCTGTAATATTATCTGTGGTGAAAACTGGGAATGTTATTTTACATTCTCTGCTCAAAATTCTCTTATGTGCTTAGTTGACAGTTTACACGCTGGTCCGCAATTTAATCTTTTCGTTTATTTACGTTCTATGTTTACGTTTTCTGGAGGAGACAAATACTACTCTATTATTGCAATAATTAAATCGTTCAAATATGAATAACTTAGATAGCTGTGGCCAAGCTTTCTATAAATTGGAAAAGGAAACATCAAATTTGGCCTTGCTAAAGGACCGTGTGGAAAAATATCATGATTTATCAAATCAAATGTCGAGCATATTGACTGTCTTCGAGCAGCGACTTGGGAAATTAGAGCAAACCATTTTGCCTGTTTACGAGGAGACAGAACAGCTTCAAAAGCGCCAGCAAAGTAAGAATTCACATACGTACATATATATTTTTTTGCATGTAACGAAACACTAATTTCTAATATATCTTCATGTAGATTTAGACGCCACATTAGGATGCCTCGAAAGTGTGCTCGCTCACTATGATGTTTCGCAGGAAGTGTGCAATCTTGTACATCAAGGTCCACTAGAAGGAAATGTGAATATTTTTCTTGAAGCTTTGGGGAAACTACGAGCAGCAATGGACTATTTTCTGCACCATAATTCGCAGAGTGTGGAATTGGAAAATGTTACCAGTCTCTTCAATACGGGTTGCGAAGGCTTAAATCAGCATTTTAGGTTACTTCTAAAGAAACATAGTTTACCTTTAAAACCCGTGGATCTGTTAGATCTGATTTATATTGAAGATGATTCAAGTGATGAGTACACATCATTCCGGCAGTTATCTCAGAGTACAAGGGAGGAATTAGGAACCATAGCACATTGGTTAGAGCAAAATTTGCGTCGTGAATATACAATTATTTATGCTGTGGAAAGGGGAGATGTCGTTTTACGTTCACTCCAAAACCTAAAAGATCATCAAAAAAGTAGCAGTTGGGGTCATGAAGCTCTGGTCTGTACAATAATTTTGTATTATGTGTTAATTAAAATTTACAAATACATTATCTTTTATAGAAACCACGTCATAGTGGACGACCAGAGGTAAAAAAGAACACTTCAGCTCGTTTACAGCAAATGTAAATATAAAAATTAAATTTACTGGTTTTCTATAAATAATTGTTCATAAATTTAGATTCGAAAGGAAGGCTAATAAATTGTATTTGCGAGCTACCCAAACGCTTGAACAGTCGACTGGCATATCTATAAAAAAAGCATCATCCCATTCGGAGCACTTGTCTGCCGAAGAGTTTGTAGACGGAGACCAAGAACTTGACAAGTATCTCGTTATGCTGCTCGGTTTGCAACGACTTCTAAATTGGGAGCGAGCACTAATGACTGAAATCGTGCCTTCTTCAAAACATGGAGATGTGTTTTCAAAATTGGCTTACAATTCTATTGAGCTGGTAGTTAAAGATGCAGAAGCAATTACTAATCGTATTATGCGCTGCATTTCACGAAAGGAGTGGACTTCTGCGCTAGGAATATTTTCTGCACTTAAAAGAGTAATATTGCTACAACCGGATATTGAACGTACATATGATCTACAACAAAGGGAACAACTTACCAAGGTTCTAAACAAGCTGCAAGTTACGGTAAGATATTTTAGATGTTGAAATTCTCAACTAAAAAATAATAACTTCAGGGCTCAAAAGCTTTGGAGCATTTTCTTGATGTAATAAAAGGCGAATCCGGCACAAATATTGTAGGAATGAGTTCAAGTACACTAGGCTATGGTTATGTAAATGTTCCGAAGGATGCAACGGTTCATGAACTTACTTCCAATACAATTTGGTTTATCGAACATGTCTATGATCATTATGACGTTATTGGATCCATTTTACAACAGGATGTTCTTTACAGTACACAATTGGATACAATATTAATGAAGAAAGCTCTACCAGCCGAAGAGCGCAATAAGGCATTGTTGGCAATCTACATCAGTAAGCGAAACAATACTACCTATCACAATAAATAATAATAATTTTGTTAATAATTAATTTTGTCAAAACAGAAAAGGCTCTAGCGGAGTTAAACCTTTCCATAATGAACAAATGCGAACAGTACAACGACCAAGCCACAAAACATCTCTTTCGTCTTAATAACATTCATTACATATTAAAGTCTTTGCAGCAATCAAATTTAATGGATATGGTTACATTGGCAGAGCCAGATTGTGAACAGTGCTATTTAGATATGATTCGTGAACTAAAGTTCTCTTACCAGAAAACCTGGTCGAAAATGCTTATTAGTATAGGTGTAGATGAATTGCCTCGACCATCTCATGGAAAAGTTAAAGATAAAGATCGTAGCATATTAAAGGAGAGATTTTCTGTGAGTATTTGTTAAAATTTTTATAAAAAGGTTTTAAAGTTAAAATGAGTTCGTTTTGCAGAATTTCAATAAAGATTTTGAGGAAGCATGTAAGGTGCAACGAGGCATTTCTATTCCAGACGTAATATTGCGTGAAGGTATAAAACGAGATAACGTGGAACACATACTTCCTAAATACAATAAATTCTATGAAATGTAAGCAAATAATCTAATACGAATGATCATACTCACTTCTTCATAATGTATCTCTAGGTATGCCACGGTGCAATTCAGTAAAAATCCCGAAAAATATGTAAAATATCGGCCGCATGAAATTAATCAAATGCTAAGCAAACTCTTTGATGATTCTGCTTAAAGTCAACGTTAACTAGCGTTTATATTTAAAAAAATCTTTATTATTATAAAAAAGTATAGAAAATCTAGCAAAAATAGAGTGTCTAAATTTCGGTACTACTAAATTAATAAATATTATGTATAATTGTGTTTAACTGCTTAAATACATAAATATAAATACATAAACAATATCAAAATAAATAAACAAAAAATATATTCCCAAACTAAATGGCTCTTAGCAATTATAAAACTTTATTCCATGAATGTAAATATTTTCGCTGATTGCTTATTAGTAGAGATAATTCGATGACGGGGCTTCTGGTCGTCCACATGCTCCGTAATGACTCACTTTCACAGTGTTATTTGTTCGGCAGTTTTCAATTTCCAAAAAACACTCGTTAAGATATGTCATTTCATCTGTTCCACATATAGGTTCGAATTCGCGGGGACAAATTCTCGCACAGCCTTTGAACTGTATGTTGCTTAGACAACGTTTCAGGGGAACTACGAACACATGTTTACCACAGTTTTCTCTACGCATGTGACACTCAGATTTGTAAAATTTGTTGTCAGACCCACATACGAAGTTCGGAGGCTGAGAATCACAATCGGACTCGCAATCAGCAGTAAGCAAACAATTCTTCAATGACACAGGAACTACACGCATGTGACAAGTTCGTCTTTTAAAATCACACATTGATGGGAATGTGTTCCCATCTGAACCACATACTGGGCCACTTTCCAAATCGCTGCGGGTGCACCGCTCGCCACAATCTTTTGTTTGTGCCTTTAGGTCCGTACATGGCCCAATGTGGGCGAGATTAACTCCACGCCTAGAAAAGAAAAAAATTTAAATATAATAGAATAAAGTACAGCAATTAATTTAAATTGTTTATTCTATGGTTTCATTTCCAAATCGTGGAATGATATTAATTATAATTTCCTTACTGCAAGGAAATAATGTCTCAATCGTAAAATATTTCAAGGATTCCCTGTCACTGAAACATGAAAACAGACAATGGTTGTTTTCTAGTTAAGGAAGACTATGATTTGAGATACATATGTATGTATGTATGAATGTTAGTTTTTTGCTCTGACTAATTTTGATTCTTAAAATTAGGTTCTCAAATCAATAGATTCCCACTCTTAGTATTTGTTTAATGAGGTTTTTGCGCAGTTCTGAATTTCAGCACAAATTGAAATTTATGGCAATTTTCGTTCTTGCATCCTCTAGCTACGAGACAGCAAGATAAATATATATGTACATACATAGTCTAAATCAGAAACTAGACTTGAAATCAATATTTTCAATAGTGAACATTTTTGAATCACACTGTGACAAATAAGAACTATTAGAACAATCTCATGTGAACTTCAGTGCCTCTATTCTATTCCCTCATGCACCAAATTTGATTTGGCGACTCGTCTAGTCACCAACAAATTACGGTGTCTGTTCGTCCGATTTCAACTGAACTTTGATTTTTACCAATTTTTTTGTATTGGCCAAAAGTAGAAAAAATCTGTTTGACTATTTCAACACCATGCAAATTTTTGCTTCGTAGTTGTTACCCAACAACACAATTTAACTTCTGTTTAAGAAATAAGAGTAAAATCGTAAACAAAGTTCAGTTTTGAGTTTACCGTTGGAACTAGTGAGTTTAATTAAAAATGATTAGAAATATGATTGACTAAAAATTAAGTGCAAAACCATAAACAAAATTATTGAAAACTATTGTAGTGCGATCCTCAACCTCAAAAGAGTACGAGAAAACTAATAGAGCAAGTATGCAACACAACGGAAAAATCGCTTTGAACTGTTCTTTGTATTTCCACTCAGAAGACGCATTTTTCCACTGTACGTGAGGAGAAAGGACCCTAACCCCTGCGGGTTAGAGGTACAGGAATTTACCCGCGGTAAGGCATGCCTGTCTTAAGAGGCGACTAAAATCCAAGAGTTCCCGCGACAGTCGGGTCTTGATACCGGAACGACCCGGATTTTTATCCGGCCGGGGACTGTCACTCCCGCAAAATTCCCCAAAAAGTACTTTAGGGAAAATTTTTGAGGTTACAACAACAACGACAACAACAATAACAACAACAACAGAAAGGATTGTAATGAATTGCTCTTTTTTACCGGCGTAGAAACTTACGCGATTATAGAAGAGTTAACATAAGCGCGTTAGTCGTTTCTACTTTTCGCCATTTCGCGCTCATCGGAGACACCAAGTGAAGCCACTTGATCTTTCGAATGGAGCGGACGTCTACTTCTTCCTCTGCTTGCAACATGACCTAGTATACTTTCTGCATCTGAACTATGTCGATGCCACCGTATATATAATTTCTGGCCGTTGCCAAAGAACGTAAAGAACCTTAAATAATTTTTGAGTTTTATCTTTGTTCGACAGGAAAGGACTGTACTATATAATAGCCTACTCAGTCCAAAGCACCATCTGTTAGCAACAGGGAGTTTACGTTGGATTTCAAGGCTCAAATTAAATTGTGTTTGGCGTTAATACCGGCTCAAAAATAGACGAAATAATCTACGAATTCAAAGCTTTGATCGTTAACAGTGATGTGGGAGCCGAGTAGCAAATGCGACGAGTATATATATATATATATATATATGTCAGGGAATGTCAAAAAAGGCTCCTCATCCGTTCGCAGGTGGTGGCTACAAAGCGCCACTTATATATCGCTGAAGCGATTTTTTGGACGAGCTCCTCCTCCAATTTGTGCTTTGGCGTCTTGCTGTTTTTCCAGCAAATGGAGGGATCTATAGTTTATATTAAGCCACCTGCGAACGGCTTGTGGTTTTTTTATGAGGAACCTTTTTTGACATTCCCTGCCTAGGGGCGACGCCAATTAAGAAATTTAACTTAATTTTTTATTTAGATTAATCTTCTGTAAGTTTTGGATGTTGGTCGTAACAGGATTTGAACCCTGGCTTTCCGAATGGCAGTGTGCAATGCTAACTACTACTCGGCTGCCGCATGATTGTATACCTATTATATAAGGTTGTAAAATATTTTTTGTGGAAAGAGTATCTAATTGTCGTTTGCTTATACATATTTAACATATATATATGTTTGTATTTATGTATGCACATACAAATGTACATATGTATGGCTACTTACAAGCATGTTGCATGCGCCAGTTCGCATTCATTGTTGTACGTTTTTGCATCACTGCCACAGAGTTTGTCGTTCCGATTTGATGAAAATATGGACCCAAATAAATTATTAAAATCTTTGCACGGAGGCAGCTGTTTGCAGCGATTCAAACGGGTTTTACATTTGTCCATGCTCATTTTTTGTATCGACTTGCGTTGTGGACTGCAAAGGAACGCGAGAAAAAGTAGACAAGAATACAACTTAATCAGATTACCCACATCAACTTCATTGCGTGTCTGTCGCGCGCGCCGCAATGTTCCAATTAACGGCTACTTACCCACAATTTAGCATTTTCAATTCACAAAGAGATGAGTAAATATTGCCATCGCTTCCGCAGACATACTGTGATGGGGCGTCAGAAGTAGGCGGACATTCGGTAGGACAGTTGTCCGCTGCCTTGCTGCCATTAGTGTTTCGCTCCTGTGACATGCAAAACGATAGCGGGACTTCGAAAATATGCTTGCCGCAGTTGTAAGCTCGCATCTTGCATGGGCTAGCGTACAATCGTCCGTCAGAACCGCAGGTGGGGCGAGCAACACGCCAACAAGACTCACGACACATGCGCGTGGATTGGCAATGCTTTCGACTGGTCTTCACAACGCCCTGACTGCAAGTTAGTAGTTTCATTTCACATGTCGAATTGTATACATTGCCATCCGAAGCGCAGATTGGACCATCTTTCGGCGCACTCTTACAATCCACTGGACAAGATTCACGTATGGCACTGATGTTACTGCAGGCGCCCACGTGTGACATGCTAACTGCAGCTATACCAACACGACACGCCTGCACGCGCAACATACAACGATTCAGGTAAGTGTGACCGTCTGTGCCACAAACTGGGTCTTTCTCTGTGGGACACCGGTGCTTACATTCGGATCCCCGTGCTCGCTCACAACCGTCTTTAACGGCCTGTAATTTTTCACAAAAGTTTAAAATCAGTAAATAAATATTCATTTACATACGTATGTATGTACATAAATGACAAGAGAAAAAACACATCCAACATATTATTGGAGGTTAAGCGCGCACTTAACAGTGTATATTATGTATATAGCGTGGCGCGAAATACATGAGTGCTACTAAAGTTTTATTAAAAATAAAATAGTACCAATCATTTCTGTTTAGTTTTGGTTCACTCTATTTTAGCATTTCACCTCATTAACATTTAACGGTCTAGTAGGTTTTGTTAAAAAGTGCGGATATCACTATGCTCCATGTCTTCGTTCGACGTTGCTCGATGAACGAGTATGCCGTGTTTGGTTGAAATATTATTTATTTTGTCTAACACATGCGTGCGCTTGTCCTTAATTAGCCTTAGCGGATTAATGCGAAATGTCATTAATAGCCTTCATCGACTTTAGTTTGAAGCAAGAACTTTCTGGTAACCAAACCTCCTATAGATAAATAATTGTGTGCCCTTTTTACAAGCCTGCTTCTCCAAAGGTATGCAGCTAACATTATTCCAGAAGCGAAGTTTTCTGTGGGTCTTTACCGAAATAGTGCAACTTCGTCGTACTTTTTTCATGATTAATGGAGTTGTCGAGGAGGATAAGCTAAAATATCAAATTTCAGGCTTTTCATTAATTTTTCAACAGTAATTTCACTTCGAGTTATTGTTGTAGTCTTCTACAATTTTTACACAGTTTGATTTAATTAACCACTTTATGTGTTACACAAAATGCTGAGCAAAAAGGAACTGAAAAACGCTTTCTACAATATTAATGGTAAAGTAACGCTAAAAAAACTTGCAGTTATTCTGCGCCACGCTTTACAATGTACACTATATATTTATTATATTTACACTTATGGTATGCTTACATTTTTACATTTTTACATTCTTACCTTTACCGTATTTGACCCATTTCGGGAGCATGTTTTTTTCTTCATTTCACATAGATTGGCATAAATTAAGCCATCTGAGCCGCAAACCGGTGTGGCGCCCACTGTCGTACTTGGCGGACACGATCTGGGGCAGGCGTTGGCATTGCCACGTTGTTGCCGCTGCACAGCATCGTCATCCAAACTCATGGTATTCATGGCTGCATTCATATATTCTGAATATAGTAAAGCGGCTCGGCTAAGAATAGGTGATGATGTATGACTGTGTTCGCTTGCATTTTCAGCATATCCGGACTGCAAATGCTCCTTACTGTTGCGATAACTGATTATTGGGGAGTCGTCTGTATTGTGTATGTAATGGATCATTGGCGCTTGGGCTGGCAACTTAATAAACTTAATTGGAGAGTCTGTAGTGGCGCCTATAAAGAAAAAGTTGAAACTAAATTTTATACACATACGAGTAAATATGTAGGATTGAAAATCGCACTCATGCCTGTATTCACATATATTTAGGTTTGAATTAATATCATATATGTGAATACATATGTGTGTTAAATATAAAAAGAATTAAAAATGGATAATTCACATGTTTTCCAACTTAAAAAATTATTAAGTATTTTGCTTTGCGTAGCAAATTTCAAAACCGTTTTGTTTTCCTTTTGTAAAAAATTTTAAATTTATAATCAACCGTTTATTATTATATTTTATATAGTTTAACTTGGCTCCGAAAACCATTTACGATTAATAAAGTGGCAATACAAATTTTCTGATATTCTGTTTATGAAAAGAGAATAAGCGTAAGTCAAAATTATCGCAGTGCATTGGTAGTAAATAGGATAAATGGGCGTCTAATTGAATTTTGGTAAGTGCTGAGCTTACTTTTATGTTTTTGTTACAAAAAATTCATTAACTACTAATTTTCCCGCCCACATTTACAGAGTTGGTTGGAAAAATGAGTTTTGGGCAAGATTCAGGGATTCAGGGTCAGGATCTGATACCGAAAAAGTAATGTGTAGAATTCAAAAGTAAAATAAAGATCGAATTGGAAGCAACTTTTTGTAAAAAATAACCCTTTCATAAATCAATTCATCGTTGTTTTGCATGAGTTATTGATAATATTGTATAAATAATAGTGCAACAAGTTGTAACAAATGTTATTTTACTATGAACACTTCTAAGGTTGTGAATTTGTAAGGAACACAAATTTTCTGAATGATCCGAGTAAATTTTTTACCGATGCCATAAAAGAGAACTTCAATCCAAATCGTTATAGGTGAGGCAGCTGCAGGGAATGTGACCAGAAAAATTTGTAAGGGAGCTAATATAGTAGGGAGGTAGGTAACGAGAATTGATTAGAGAAATGGGCCTATGATCTAATATGACTTGGGTCATAATACTTTCAGGAGGCGTATAAAACATGCATTTTATACGTAATTCGCTAACCAGTATTTAGTTGTGTGCTTCCTTCTTGTTCTACCAAAAACTAATTGCGAAAACCTTACTTTTTTCATTAACCTTGATGGGTTTTCAAAAAAAAAGTAACAAATCTGACACATACAATATATATTGATTTCCTTGAAGAATATTGTGAAAGACAAAGAATCCATTTTATATTTTAATGAAATGTTTTTGTTTGATTATCTCAAAACAAACTGCAAATAACCATCAAACGCACAAATCAAAACCTTACATTCGTAACACTTGACCATATTGTATTTAAAAAACAGTATATGTAAATACATATGTACATACATATACATGCTAATTTTGAAAATGTCATAAAAAATTAGCAATATCAAATTCATGGCACAAGTAAAAGTAAAAGTATACAATAAGTAATAAAAACAAATAAAAGTAAAAGGAAATTTCATTATTGCTACTTCCAGCAATGAACTTACTAATAAAATATATATGCTCGTATGTCCATATGTATAATGCGCTACTAAAGATAGTTGATGGTATCTTCGTATTCAGGTGTGCCAAAGGTTTTAATTATTTTCTGTATATGTGAACGTTTATATATAGCTATGTACATTGATATTTATACATATGTATAAATACATACCCCACACACGTTAAAAAAAGAAAAGCTGTCCATACATAGGGTAAATGTGCTAGTAACCGCGCGATTAATTAAGTCAAAATATTTTATATTAAATCAGGACCTTGATTAATTCTAAATCGACTAAGAATACAAATCACATTTGTAAAATAATTCAATAATTTCTTCAGTGAGCGGAGGTTTTTTTTAATGAACAGACAATAAAACCCCCTAATCGGTCACCCGTTTAACAGTCAATTTAATCTAATAAAAACTAGAAGAAGGAGTAGCCCAGTTCATCACCTTGTCCTAATGCCTAACATAAGGAGTAGTTGCGTAATTTATCTTCCACTGTAACAATAGGGATTATTAAATAACTTGTGATATACTGTAGAGTTGTTACGATATATTAAAAACAAAGAAATTTATGATTTTCTCACATATGCTTTGATCACAATTAAAGTCGAATGCTTTACTGCTCTGCTGCTGCTCTGAAATTTTTCCTTTAACCATCTTGGTTATGAGCTGGGGGTCGTTTAAATACCATTAATAAAAATAAAATGAAATGTCTAATCTATAAAACTCCCGTGTCAGCGCGTTAGACACGATACTCCTTCGAAACGGCTTGATCGATTTTAATGAAATTTTATGTGCACATTCAATTGGCCTGAGAATAACATAAGATCTATTTTTCACACCGGGAAGAGGATCTGAGACTGATCTATTCGGAAAATTTTAATTTATAGTTCGATTTATTTGAAATTGCTTAGTTTAGCAGGAACATTACTTTTGTTACCAGGAATAGTACCTAAGACCGATCTATTCGAAAAAATCGTATGTAGGGCTTGGATTAATATATAAACATTTTCGGAAGTGGAAGTGGAAGGGTCACCGAACATATAGTTGATTAGCATGGTCCATTCCATTCGTTGACTTAAGCTGAAGCTTTGTTGGAAGGTACGCCCATGCGAATACGGGATCCGTTTCCTTGCATTTACGTGCGTAAAAGCAGAGCAATTCCATAGCGTGCGCTATAACAATCGTCCTTTCAATGAATTATTCAGAATAGTTATATTGTATAGAAATGCAACATATGCGATCTCGCTCAATGAGAAACCCTTATGTTGAAAATAATGTATAGTTTTTCCTAAATTGATAACGGGTGGACCGAAATAAAATTAAATTTTATTAGGAGAATCTCGGGGACCGATTCATGCGAGAAAATCTCAGTTACATGCAGAAACTGGTCCTTAATAATCTTATTTATGATTCAAATTGCTTGAATTTTTTTTATTTTCGTTCGTGTGGGCTGCTTCTTATCTGAAACCGCTTTGTTAAATTTAAGTACTAATTTTATGAGAATTATGTTCGCGTATTGATATACCACCTTTGTTGTTTGTTCTTGATAAGGGCAAGTAACTAAGACGAGGACAAGTTCGCTGGGTCTGTTAGTACTATATAAAATAATGAAGCTGATTATCCGGTCACTGGGAGAAACACTCTCTACGGTACAAGAAAAATAAGCTTAAATTTTATTCTATTAACTACTCAGAGTCGTATTTATTTGAAAAATTGATAATTTTAACGAAATATGTATTTTGGCGAGCGCAGTAGCAGAGTGTTATCTAGCATTGCTTACTGATATTCGGAAGGTAAGGGTTCGAATGCTGGTTCAATCAACATCTAAAATACTAGAAAATTAATTTTGCTAATTGCGGTCGTTCTCAAGATCTTCGACCATTCGGCGGCTTAGATTAAACTGTAGGTCCATCCATTTGCTGGAAAAACAACAAGACGCAAACACAAATTAGAAGAGGACCTCGGCCGAAAATCGTGACAGCGATCTCAAAGCCATAAAGCTGAGTGGCTGTTTGAAAGATTTATTTACATATGCGTATATGTGTATGTGCTATATTAAATTTTTTCTGAAAATTTTGTTTTTGTTTTTGTGCTGCCTTCATAAGAATGGAACATAATTATCTCTTATGTATCAGAAAGTATTAGCAGCGACCAAATGGGCCAGTCCACGCTCAAAAACTATAGAAACATTTTTTCCATAACATAATATACTATTTAATAACATAAACGAACAGTGGGACCTACAATTTTTGGTTAGTTCTCCGAACGACTGTTCGATGATAGAAGAAGCGGCGACCAACGTGTAACCCCAGATCGCTTCATTTTCAGCTGGAGACGTCATGTATGTATATGCTTTTTTTTTAATTATTTGGTTCAAGGTATGTAAGCAGCAAGAGAAGAGATAGATTTATTAAAATTTATACCGATCAGATCAGAATGACAAGCTGAGTTGATTTGGTCATGCCCGTCTGTCCTTCTGTTTGTACGTGAACTAATATCTCAGTTTTGAGGTATTTCAACCAAAATCGGTTGAAGTCCGCTAGAAAAGCACTTGACCGAATGAGGTATTATCCCGTCGTATTTTCAAATGTACATTGTCATCAAAAATCATAGAAATCGGAGGACTATATCATATAGTCCCCATACAACCGATTTCTTCAGAAATAAAAACGTCAAAAGAGCATCTTAGAGCGTGAGAGTAGGTATTTTTAACATGGAAATTCGGATGAGTATTGACCCTGAAAATGATCGAAATTTGACAAGACAGCACCGCTTTTTCGTTTTTTTAATTATCTGATTCACCTCTCGGAAAAACTGAACTTCTATCATTTTTATAATGTATGTATATATATGTGCATAACATACGTACAGAAGTTTAATGTGGTATGAACATGAGCATGTAGCATCACGCTACGTTTCTCTACCTCTTATTAATAAAAAATTTCTCCGCATACGTGTAATTTCTGTGCAGTCGAATTGGAGCAGAGCTAAGTGGCGTTTAATGAATTGTATATATATGTACATATGTATGTATATATGTATGTACATGAATAAATGAATATTAGATGGCACTGTACCGGTAAATAAATAAAATTGACTTTCATAGCTGACAGCTAACAGCTAACAGCAAACAGCAAGCGCGTTATCGTCTTTGAAGACATTGTGCAATATTCTTTCGACAACTAAAGCAATTCTTGGCAATTAAAAATCAATTGAAAGCTCTTAGATTCATAAATGAAGAGTGAAACAAATAATTGAAAGAAAATATTCGTACATACATAAGTACAATTTCACATGTAATGCACTGATATAAATATATAAATACATAAATACATACGTGCGTACCCATGTTTTTGTCCACTTGAATGTATTAAAGAAAGAGCTCTGAAAGCACACTGCTGCGGGCTAACTTCAGAGAAAGGCCACGGTCAAATGAATAATAAATTTAGAATTTTATTGAAATTACATACTTCAATAAGACAACTGCTTGTCATGATATAGACACATTTAAAATCAATGTATGCATGTACACCTATGTATATAACTACATTCGAAAGAGAGTTCAATTATGATCGGTCGAATTACGAAGACCCTTAGGGAGTTCACAAAGCGTCCTATATGTCATACGAGCATGTCTTTAACCTCGCATTTCCAGAGAGCAGTTGTTACCTTGTCATTGATTAAAATTACACATTTTTGCGGTTTTTCACTGTTTATTTGTGTGTGGTAAACGAACAGCTGTTTCCGTTTATATTCTTATGCAAGAAAAATGTGCTCTACTCCATATTATCTTTGAACCTGGGAAAGTCCGGTGAGAAGTTTTGCCAAATCACAACTAATATTTTTATTTTGTGTTCAACGATTTATATATAATACAATGGTGGGTTCAAACGTTCAATATTTACCACAAACTCGACGTGATTTGAACTCCATAACTATTAACAATATTTATGAATTACAGCAATACATACACAAAAAATTAGTGAATGAAATTGTTTCTAACAATGGAATGTGTGTAGTCCAATTTTCAACGGTGTTGTGAATTCATTTCATACTCTAATTGAATTAAAAGTTTCTTTATGTGGAAGAAATAGCACCATTATTCACAACAGAGTCATACATATTTTGTGTATGAAAGTATGTATGTATATACTCGATGAACATGTGTGTGTAAAAGTAATCTTTGAATTTTATGCTGAGGCTGTGACTACCTTAAATACTCTTCCGCTGGTCTGTGGAGAACTTTTCTGTTTGCTGACTCAACATAGTTGTAAAATATAACCCATCACAAAATTGTAACCGCACAAAATCTATCGAAATAATTTCCCTCAACTGTAAACTGTTACTGTTAGATACAACAGCAAGCTAGCAAGCTACAAAATAACAACTGCACAACTGAAACCAACTGTTTTGAAAAGATGCTATAAGCATCTTGATTATATCAATTTTAATTCCTAGTAATTATCAGAAAAATTATACAATTTTTGACTTATTTGAAAAAGTTTCATTTAGACAAATTGGGTATGAAATTGGTCAAAGTGATACGAGTTTTTTTCGAATCACCAGAGTGGGTTTTGGATGACACGCAGCAGAGAGAAATTATTAGATCAACTCAAAATTCTGTAAATAGTTCGAAAGACAGAAGTGAATATGATTCTAATGTATCGTTATCGGCTTTCTTATAGCTTTCTACAGAAATACAATAAAACAATAAATTTGCTAGAAATAACTCAGTACCACGAATTACCTAAAACCACTAGTTAAAGTTTTCTCTGGATGTACTACAAAGTAACTCAGTAATTCAGTTCAAGAAGTAAAATTAATCTTTTTAAGCTTTTGCGTTCTGATAAAAATAAATAAAATTTTGACAGAACAGATTTTCGATAAAAACCTATTTTTTCGAAACCCTGTAGCTGCCGTGGTTCATTAATAACATGGTTCGCAGTTAGTCTCCTTCAAAGAAATTTTATCACTTTTGGAGGTGGCGTGTGGTGAAAAGCTGGTTTTCCAATAAGACTCAAAATGACGCGCTATGTATAGATTTCTATAGTAGCTACAGCGGTATCTCCCGTCCTTAATATTAAAGAAAATAAGTTCGTAGTGTTTATGGAGCTAACACAAAATACTCCTCGAAAGAAAAGCGTTTCCAAGTCGTACGAGCAACCCATTTTGGGGACGATTTGAGCTTTTGACGCTTTGGACCGTCTTACTCTAAACTTAACACTTTTTAGTTGATTCAAAAAGCCGATAACACCACGTATTATTAGTAATAGAAATATAAAAACATGAATGGAAATGACTTTTGTAAAACCGTTACTTTCACTTGTGCTTTTACTGTTGTTTTGAAACTGCCAGTTGTTGTTCTTTAGTGTCTGTACCTCAAAGCCGCAATCCGACTATTCTCTTTTACATTTAAGGCAAATTACTTAGATAAATTTGGTGCTGTTATAGTTTTGCGATGGAGTGTGTATACAGCTTTCCTCCTTAGCACCGTATGCATATTTTAACTTTACTACTATTTGCATATGTATTAATATACATATATATAAAGTTCATATTATTTGGAATTCCCGATAAGCAATGATGAAACTTTATAAACAGAGAACAAGGATGATATCCAACCGAGGTCGTGAAATGGAAAGTTTTGTTAAAGCGCTAAAAAATCTTACGGTTCGAAATAATCAAATATTCTCGTATCTCTAATGATATGAGTGAGGGACGTGGTTTCCTTCCGATATTAACCTTTCTCATATGGTAATTGTATGTATGTATTTGCTCATATGAATTTCCATTTTTGTATTGTATATAAAAGTATAAATTAGTATGTATATATGTATGTACAACATCATGAAGATGTCGGGAGAAAATCTAGCGATGACGTGTTAATAAGGCTTTGGAGACATAAACAAACATCCAACTTGTGGAGGTCAGGTTTCTACAAATATGCAAATGCAAAAATTGCCCCACAGTTATAACAAGACAATAACACGGTTTCACTTGTGAGGAAAATGCATATGCACAACTTCCATACCTACATACGAGTGCATAGTGTGTAAAGCAAATTCCATGCAGTGCAATATACATACATACATATTTACGAGTAAACCCGTGATTAACTGACAATTGAAGTAAACATGAACTAAATATTGAAAACATAATCCTAAATTGTTGTTGCGAAGCGTAAGTTTTTTTATTATAAATTTATGGATCATGAGTGTTGGAAGACTTTTAGTGAATATAACTGTTCCGAGATGACTGTAAATCCTTGCAACCTGGACTAATTTCTAAAAATAAATGTATAGAATAATTGCTGGTAGGTTTTTCTATTACCACCGCATGTTCTCATCAAAGGGAAACAAAATGACGAACTATCATCGATTTAGATTTCCAATCGTGATATAAAATAAATTGAAATTACAAATCTATAAGGTAGTTTCACTTTGAAATTTTTGACACGAAACGTTTTTACTCAGAGTTGTTTGATCTTTCCACTTATGAGATATCCAACTGGGAGATTTTTTAAATACTCTTGGAGTTATCTTATTAAATATATCATACTTCAAATATTTCTTTCAATTCGTTTTTCTTAAGCGGCACATAAAAGAAAAGAAATTGCCAGATGCCTTTTACTAAAAACAAATAGGAAAGAGTTGACATTTTTCTCGACTGTATGAGAAACGTCCATTGTTTCGGTTCCTGGATACAGAGACAAGCTCGCTAGGTAGAAAATTGACTTATATGGAAATTATGAAATTTCATATTTTCGTGTTTCAATCTATTCCGTTTCTGGTACTTATTAACAACTTACTAATGCCACTATCAGGAGCTCGAAAATATAACTTAATACGTGATTTTTGACGATTAAACATTTTAAAAATATGTAAATTCTCTAGAAGAGGGTAGCGCGAAAAATATGAAACAAGTTTAATTTCAGATAGCTGTAAGGAACACTGCGAAGAGAGAATGAAACTACCTTTAAATTATTGTATCATGCTTCCAACCACCAACAACGATATCTTTCGAGCTAAAGCTAAAAAAAATTATAGTTTTTTTTATCCTATAATATACCAAGAACTGCTGCTCTCAGCGAGTAAGGAATCGGTTGACGAAGAACAGCTTATTTATTTCTCTCGGAGAATTCAGGCGGGTGGCTCTAATTATATTTGACCCAGAAGGAAATAAAATAGGCGATGCAGCTATGTGACAATATCAAAAATAAATATGCAGAACATGCACAAAGAATCCCCATTCAGCAAATGAACACCTCATTGTTAAAATTTAGAATGAAAAATGAATTGTATTTGGTCCAATCTTCGCATTCGTTCTTGGTTATTACTTATTTGAAAACCTGGGCTTTCGATCTGGGAAACTAAATATAAGGAACCAAAGTATTTTCATGCGATGCAAAGCATTAAAAGTTTGTTAGCTTGAGCTATTCTCCAAATAATCGCGCTTTTCAAATTTGTGTGAATGAATTACTGAACATACTCGTATACGAGTATGTATGCTCCTATTCTAGTGCAGGAGTTTAAAATTTTGGAATCAACCCACAACCAAACATTTCATTCCAGTCGGTTTAACAGGTTTTCTTGTTAGCAAATTTTTTCCGTCAAATTTTTTCAGTCAAGTTATCAATTTACAGCAGACGAACTCCTTAACATACACTCCTACATACATTTATATTTTGGTAAACTATCTTACGTCCGACATTCCGTTAGCAAATTTCTCTTATCTCCCAGCGGACCAGCCTTTAATATGCAACATATTTGGAAGAAAGTGAAAAGTACACACTATAAAACAAATTGAGTTTATTAACATGGTGTCACTTACCGACTGCGTTCTCGCACTGGCTTATTGTCACCAACACAATCAGTATCGTTAGCAGCAACTGTTGCAGTATCGGTAAGGCTGCTGTAGGCGCTTGGAAAGACTGGTGACGATGACGGTGACGATTTCGACAATAGGTCGTGGCAGCTGTGGCGAGGCGCGATATCTTTCTTTCACCGGTTTGTTGGCGATTTATAGCTTGGCCGCGCAGCATTTTCACTGCACTTTACTTTATGCTCAATGTGTTGTGTTTGAAATCTTTGAGCGTGCGTGTGTATGTGCGAGTGTGTGTGATATTCGATTTCTTGTGCACTTTTCTCTCTGTTTATCGGTTGTTTTGCTTAACCTTCGTATTAAGATATTTCAGTTTTCTTTTGTTTGCAACGCTTTCGCTCGTTAGCAAACAATCAAAGAATAGCAGGAACAACACAGCACTAACAACAATAACTACAGAGTTAAGTCTAATTGTAATCGTATACATATATGAAAAGCAAGCGATCTGAGAAGAGCATTAAAAAGCAATTTCTATTTCTTGCCGGTTCGCTGACTTACTCATACTCGTATAATACATAATTGGGTCTTGAGTTTTCATTGGATATTTTCATACTTTGTGCAAATGATTAGGGAATTATTGCAATTCTAAAGTTTGACATTTAATAAAAATGTTTTATTTTATAGGGTATGTCTATACGTTACTGGAGTTTCAGGAAAAACACATACTCTCTCTCTTTCTCGGAAATGCAGAACTGGCAGTAATTCCGTATATATGTATATATGTACTATGTATTGTATATGCATTCATACATACGTTAAAAGTCTAATTTTGTTGTCAACTCCAGTCCATATTTTAAATTTACTTATACATACATACATACATACATACATACATACATACATACATAGAAGTTCATGCATAAAATACATACAAACATACATATGTATGGAGATACGTTAATGTACAGCAAAATATATTTTAAATAGCTTTTTTTTCAAATAAAAGCCGTTGCCCAACTCATTTGAATCTTTCGTTCTTTGTTGAACGATTCATTTTGTATTATTTGCACTTCAAGGTGCACAAATTACAACAACCATCCCACCGAAGAGAATAAATTAAGAATCTAGACGCTTTCAGCAGACAAAGAGTATTCCTCAAACTTCAATTCAAGCAACAAGCGTCACAATTAGCGAATAAGTACCATCAATGGATGCAATGGTAGGCGTTTTTATATGTACAAATGTGCATAAATATGTATGTATTTATGTTTTTATATATTTGCTTTATACAAACTTATGCACGCAAAGAGTATGCATAATACATATTTATAATATGTCCATTACAAAAACATAAATTTGCATTACTTTGAACCAAAACTATTCCTGACCACCGATAAATTTGTGTTTATTGAGTTATGAATTATTACGCATCGAATTATTATCACTACTGCACTCAGCGTGCCAAAATCGGAAGGAAGGAATTTTTGTTTTATTAGGATAGAAGTTTAATTTTATAGAAAGCACATGACTTTTGACTGAACCTGTATGGTTTGTGAAGTCTTACGCTGATCTGCTGTACAATCTAGACATTCGATTTAAACGGCTATGGCTGAACGAAAATATGCTAATGAATCATGAGGAAGCACAGTTTTTTATTCTTGTAGACACGATACTACGGTTACAGATTGAAAATGACCATTGTCAAAAGACAACCACGCGCACATAGTTCATACACCTATGTGGTTAAAAGATTTGATTTTGTTCATCTCCCAGAAAGTAAAAATATGTAAATAATTTTAACAGAGATTTCGGAATTACATTTTACACCATATTATTAAATGGGGATGAAAAAATGTATTTAACAAATTTTAACCGATTATATTAGTTTAGTCTCAGTTTAAAAAATAAAGATTTTTCTACTCGCATTATTTGCGGAAAATAAAAGTTAATTAGGCATATACTAATGTATATCTAAATATACATACTCGTATGTATATATGTATGTACTAATGTGCGCATTTTTAGAAAAGCTTATGTGCGCCTGTAGCATTGAATTGAGTTGACTGTCAGCCCTAGTCAAATGGTAATCCAAATAATTCTGGTTTCTTTAACGGGGTTAACTGGCTGGTTGTGCCATATCAACAAACTGTTTGTTTAAATAATTGTTACAAAAGATGAATGTATGTATTTATGTTTGTCCACACTTTCCGTTTCAATTGAAACTGACGTCCACCATTGATCTCTTTCACACTTCTTTTATTTGAGCGTTTGATGTATTGCATTCATTTCAAATTTTATTTTGAACATTTCTGGATTTGCACAATTTGTATGTTCTTTATTATTTTCTATTGCAACAACATTGTGCAAACAGATTTATGTATGTAAATATATCATATACATACATATGTATATGCACACGTAGTGTGTATGAACAATTGTTGCTATTTGAAGTATCGTTGTTACATTCTTAAAAATTATGACTATAACTTTTAATGCTTTCACACATTCACACACATACACATATGTATATTGTATGTATGCGGGAGTATGTAAATTCAGCACAAGTCCAATATGAAAATTTCACAGAATTTAAAAAATATTCAGCAAGAAATGCTCTATTTTTTATTTATTAATTTTTTCTTTTCTTTACACAGTTCAGTTCATCTGAAATGTTGGATCCACGCGCGGGTTCTCATCTGAAACGAATCAAGCACAAGGCGCTTGGATTGTTGTCTTCTATAAAAAATTATTTGCGCGCGCGCGTCCGATTTAGTTGCCGCTATCGAAAAGAAAGGTACGAACCGCAAGTGCAGAATGGCTTCACTACTTGCGGCGCATACGATTTTATAGAGTGAAAGGCCATGAGATACGGGAGTATTGGTGAGCGCCGACGTTAACGCCGTTGAAGCGCCGTGTATGCTGCAGCAGACGCCTTTGTTCAGACTGCAGCAACATAAATATTTATATGCACGTGTATGTATGAAGTTTGGTTTATATGCTATTTCCCTGCAGGGAAAGCTTAAATAAGTGAATAAATACATTCGCATAGATATATGAACCTATGCGATGGTGTAAGTATATTTCATCTCGATATATCTAGATATTTATGACGAGGATTTGATTAAATTTAATAAATTCGTAAGCAATAATAACACACTTTACTTTACTCAGTGTCAAAACATCAAATCCCGATATGAAATCTACCTCTCAATGGATTGAAATATAATATAATGGAAAAGCTATTTTAAAACAATTATTGAGGTTTTGAAACATTTAATCTTTTTTTTATAGACAAATATTACATAATTTTTCACGAAGCGAAAATATCTTTCACAATCGCCTAACACCTTGTACTTTCATTGAAGTCACACAGACATTTCTAGCTTAAAATTGAAAATTTGGTTGGAGATTCTTGAAACGATTCCGACAGGGAGTACACCATAATTCCGACTTTGAAAATCCATACAATATATATCCAGACAACTTTTAAAAAAGTTATAACCCCGACATTAAATAAAATCTCGAATAGATAAAATGTGGGTAACACGATATCCAGACAAAATAAAATATAATATTATTCAAGTAGAAGAAAGTACCAGAATAATATCGTCTCACATGGAAAAAAATGGAAGTAAGTTTTAATACTTACTAAGCACAACTGCGGGCTTAAAATTTTAAAATTTCTTTTTATTTTAAATTTTACAAACTCCCAGCAGCATTTTGATCGTTTTAAATATTTTTTAATTCGACAATCCATATAAATAACACATTTACAATAAATCTTTTACTCATAAATTTTCAGAGAATACAGAAAGCAATCAAGATATGAAATCGATAAAATAAGTACAATATCTTGATGATTGTCGGGAAGTTACGAAGTTTTCAACGGAGGAAAGTTTTGATAAATAAAATAATTTATTTTGGTATATAGATGTTAATTTTTCTGAGGGACTTGCGAACCGCTAATAAACAAATTTATTTCAGAGTGACGTACTTTTATAGTTTAAATTATATTTATTAGTAGTTAACAATGTTGCACTCAATAAATTATTTATTCACAGTACTAAACATTTATTAAGTCAATTGATATATTGGAAAATTATTACAAATTTTAAACCGCTGAACCATTTTTTCGACCGAGCTCCTCCTCAAATTTGTGGTTTTGCTTCTTGATGTTTTTCCAACAAATGAAGGGGACCTACAGTTTAGTTGTGGACATTCCCTGCCGAGGGGTAATTTTTTATTTAAATTAATTTTCAATAACTTTTTGAATGGCAACGGGAATTGAACCCGAACCTACCGAATGTCAGTACGCAATGATACCCACTCGGTTACCGCGACTTACAGCTACTTTATAATATTTGATATTACCCAAAAACAATCAAATATAACTCATGATTTAATGTAAAAAATGTTTTTAACAAATATGTAAACGAACGTTTCTGAATTCCGTCTATGAGAATAATAATATAAACTTAAGTTATGAATTTTTAAAGAGATTTAGTTAAAAAAACATGACCCTCCACTTGGTAGAATATGCATACATGCCAACAACTTGGCTATTGGCTATATTAAATTAATATTTAATAAAATTATTTATTTATTTACATAAAATATAGTTTATAACATAAATCTCATAAGCTGTTTGGCAGGGAGCTATAGCTACTACTACATTTTATGTTTAAATTCATTCTGTTCAAATCTTATGAATAATGTTTAAAATGTTGAATAATATGCTTTTAAAGAAGATCCAACTAATAAGTTCAAAATAGATTTTAAAATAAGCTTAAAGCAATAATAAATGAAAAATACTAGTATTATTGTGAAAAAAGAGAGTATACGAGTATTTATATCATATTCTAATTAAAGTTCTTCAAAATCTTAAGGGCGCCAGGTCCAAAGGCTATAAACATACATACATACAGGTGAAGCTGATGTGAGCGTGGTAAAAACCACCTTTTAGCAGAGTACCCCTTTTAGGCGTTGGCATTGTCTCACATATAGGAGGAGGAGTAGAAAATCATTGGGGTACTTTTTCTGAATTAAATATTTTGAGTGAAAAAAATATTGTGGTATTTTGTTTCCTCAATTTTGTAATAACACAATCGACCTTGTCGACCTCATTATTTCGAAGGCTGTAAGAGATCCATCAAACACCCTGGTTCGCTTTTTTCGTGCATGGAGGGATATTTTGGTCGTGATTAGATTTTGTACTTGTAGTCTGAGCAGCTAAGAAGCTCTAGGCATATTTTTTTCTTAGGACATTTGCTGCGTTGAGAACAATTTATTAACAGAGTAACCCCAACTTACCTGCACCATCTAACTTTAAGTTTTCCAAGTAGGTGGTTTTCCATAGTTAAATGAATGATCCGATTGATTAACTTAATTAATTACTTTACTGGCGCAGACACCCCTAACGCGATTATAGCCGAGTTAACAACATTGCGTCATTCGTTTCTTCTTTTTGCTGACTGGCGCCGATTGGAAATATCAAGTACAGCCGGGTCCTGGTCCTTCTCTACCTGGTGCTTCCAAGGATTATACGCGACTATTGGTCGCATGATATGATATGAAGTTCTATGAACTGCTCATAACATTTCCATACATATTTATATGCATGTATGTTATGTGTTTGTCGAGGTTTTCATCTGACTAAGTTAAATTAATAAATATCCAAAGTAAGCGCCTGAGACTCTTCTTACTCTCTGTAGTGATTCTTTTACTTTCAAAGGTGATAAACAATCAAAGAAATAAATGCAAGGCCACAGTTTGACAGCATGAAGTCCAGATTTTACTGTAAAACATTTATTTACATTCAAATAATTTGGTTGTTTTTATTGAAAATGATATTTGAACTAACGTAATTTGCTAAATTTTGACTAATTTAAAAAATTACATTATTCTCACGGCGAAGGAATAGTAGATGAATGCATTACGGTTATTTTGAATTAATTCTAAATAATTTGCAATGCACAATAGATTAAAGAGAAATATGATAATAAATCTTTGAAAATAGCTACAAATTTTTTAATAAACCTATTTTAAAGATTCATACAAAACCACACAACACAAAAAACGTCCTTAGCGCATATCTGGTAAAACACATAATATTATTAATTGTGTTATATACTGATATAACGCGGTAATTAAATAAAATAATATAATATTCGAAATAATAAAGGAAGAAGAATCAAAAACATTTACAATGTACTCTCTTCTTGCTCTGATGCGTTACCTGTTTTGAGACTCTGAAATGAATTTAACAAAAATGAAAACTGGGTCAACAGTTTATTAAAATTGTAGCCAACTGATTTTGACTTATTCTGAAATATTTCCTATATTCGATTTTCAAAATTCTGAGAGAAACAATTTCGGATCGATAAGCCATTCGTAGGTGTGCCACAATGTTGTCAATGAATTGGAATCTTGTTGTGTTTTTGTGGTATACTCCTATAAGTAAAGCGTACATGTGTATGGAATATGTATTTGTGAACCACCTCATATGAAATTCTTGGACATATGTATATACGTTCACACAGAAAGAAAAGTGGTAAAGGTGAGGTGCAGCCGACGTGATTTGCTACAGCAGCAGAAAACGAAACTTGCTTATTGTTGGCTACACTTCTCAAACACAGTTGTTGTGCTGCAAACGTGCCACCAACTTTTCCGTTCTATAGGCGCTGTGCATTTTTCATACTCTAAAACCGCATATGCGAGTTGAAAAGAAAATTTCCCAGTCTTGGACTCCCATTTGAGGGTTATGTGAAACCAAAGTCTTAATGTGTAGCTTATATATATACAAGTATTTACGTATATATATGTACATATGTCTGCAATTTGTTAAAGTTTTTTCCTTTTGTTTTAATATTATTACTTTCGCATCTATTGTATATTGCCTGCAATTTCACCTTTTTTACTTTTCCTTCCATATGCATTGGAAAAGGCACAAACATACATACATATGTAACAAATGTATGTATGTATGTATGTGTATATATTAATCTGCATATGTACACACATACGTAGAACGCTTGTTTACTATAAGAGTGACATAATTCACATAAAGACTTGGTGTTGGAAAACTATTTTAAACATTTTCAGTCAGTTTTTCACTTTTGCTTCAGGAATTCTAATTCACTATAAACGTAGAACAGGAAGGAGTATGTGGCATGTCGAAGAAATGTGGTTTGTTATCCACTTTCTTCTAATGAAAATTAATGAAAAGATAAAGCTGCTGTAAGACACAGTAAACAATAGATATAAATTTACATATAAAAATAAAATTTTTCGAAATTTGTTTTAAATAGCAGTCACACGTAGCATAATTTATTTTTTTCTAGAAATTCGAGTGTAATTTTTCTTTCTTCTATTATAGAAAATTATGTTGCAGAAATTAGTTTTGGACGGTCGTACGCCGAAATTTAAATTTTTTGAAAGTGTTGAGTGTTGAACAGGTAAATCTAAAGGATTTTTCTATCCAATCGACAAGATCCTTTGCTAAAATGACTTGCTTCCATCAAATCGTTATGACCAATGAATATTGTTAAAGTGTATGCATTGTGGCCATTTCGATTCATTCGGATCAAAATGGATACTTTTTTTACGAAGTTTTTGTGGATGATATTTTTGGGCTCAGTAGAAATATTATTGCACAAGCAAAAGTTTACATTTTTTTGTATTCAAAAACTTTTCTCTTTTTTAAATAGGTATCTTACCATCTTCCTAGATTATACAGAAAATTTGAATGAAATTACAAATTAAAATCATGTTTTATGAAAAACTTGACATTGGCAGTGGAATATACACACATACATAAATGAGCCGTCTATGTTGAAAGTGGTTTAAGTCCATTTAAAACAAAAAGTTTAGTTAATGATAACAATACTCCTACATAACTTTTTTTTTTTTGTAAACAATTTAAATCTAGTATCATTAAAATCGCTTTGATTTCGGGTACTTGAAAATTAGTTTATTAACGAAACTCAAAAAGAATTTATGTTGAAACTGGTTTAAGTCCACTGAAAGAAATAATTCCTATCTAATCTGAAAAACGCAATATTTGCACAGTACAGCAATAAAATTCACTATGAAGCAATACAATTTATAGCGGAAAAAAAAATTATAAATTAGCATTTCTTCGGTAATATTAAAGAGTTTTTGGTAAGCATATTTCAAGTATTCTTTAACAGTTCAATAACAAGATTACAGTGGAATTACCTCAGATAGGTATCACACAATTATTTACTTATAGGCTTATAATTAAAATAGCATGTGTAGTTATTGATTATTATTTTCAATAGACCTAAGCAAAGAAATAAAAATTTAAAAAATTGAATTCAGAAGTTAAGAGAAGAAGAATCGTAGAAAATTATTTGTCGTCAGATGATCATGATGGAATGCCATGTGAGATCAGTAGTAATTCTATAAAAGTTAATGAATTATCTGAAAGAAATGCTAATAAATACTTTCAAAAATTAAGAAAATCTTACAGGAATATTACATTGCACTTGGGAAATTATCTGCCGTGGTATAAAGAATTGCATAAATTTGATAAATGTAGAAGAAAAGAAAAATATTTTTGATAACGTTTGGAATTTTGGGAATTTCCATAAATAAAATTAATATTTACATGGAGCTACCAAGCAACATATTTTGCAACGCAATCTTTTAATATATCAGCAGATTGCTTACAACGAATTTTAAATGTAAAAATATTGGAGATGATTTGCCTATGGATGGATATTTTAGGAAACTTAATGAAGATGATAGAGAAGTCGTAAAAAATAATATCAAATCTTTTCCCCCATATGAATCTCATTACCCAAGGTCTCATAATCTAAGTAGAATGTAGGACCTTCCTGCTGAATTTAATATTACTAAACTGTTCAATCTATATGTGGAGAACATATGGAAAATTAAAAAAAAAATCTGTTTAATTTGCATTTTCATTACACATAAAAAGATAATTGCGAAATATGTGATCAATTCGATATTAAAATTAAAGCATCTTGTAATCCAGAAGAAAAAGTAAGGTAAGCCGGAACAGCAGAATATTCATTTAAAATGTGCTGAATTGGCCAGAAAACCATTAAAATAAGATCAAAATTTGGTCCAAAATAATCCAGATGTGTTTTATATTTCACTTTTTCCTTCGACTTAGAAAATGCATTACCTTTTCCAAAACTGTCTGTTTCAATCGCCTATTCCAAACATTTTCATCCTCGGTTTTCATAATTTTCACGATAATGGTAAGTTTACATGTATGCCTGGGATGAAATCGTGGCATCTAGGTGTCTTCAATAAGTAGTAGTGTACAAGATTAAAACACCTCAAAAATCTTAGAAATCAGAAACATATCATAGCTTACAGCGATATGTGCACTGGGCAGAACAGAAATATAAAAGTGTCAGTGACATGTTTGAAATTTGCACAATCGGCAGAAAATAATGCAGACATTATTGACCATAAATTTATGTTATCAGACCATTCGTTTTTGCCAAATGATAGTGATCTTGGAGTGATAGAAATGGTTTTGAGAAAAAATAATTTAATGTATGTCCCCCAGGATGACATGACGGAAAAGTAACAAATTTATGTTAAATAAAATGTAACGTGACGATTTTTTTTCTACAAAACCTCTTGAAGAAGCAATAAATAGAAATATGTATCTAAATTGAAAATTTCTCAACTTGTTTTAAAGCAATTAAACTCATCTACAATACATCAAAAATAATATATTTACATAATATTTATATAATTTAACTTCTTTATAATAATAATTTCAAGAACTTACCTAAAACATATTACTATTGGGTTACCCAAAAAGTAATTGCGGATTTTTCATATAGTCGGCGTTGACAAATTTTTTCAACGGCTTGTGACTCTGTAATTGCATTCTTTCTTCTGTCAGTTATCAGCTGTTACTTTTAGCTTGATTTAGAAAAAAAGTGCGCGAAATTTTGTTTACATTTGTTTGTTTGGCGTCAATTTTAATATGGAGCCCACAAAGGAGCATTTTCGTCATATTTTACTTTATTATTTCCGTAAAGGAAAAAACGCGGAGCAGGTTGCTAAAAAGTTACGAGATGTGTATGGTGATGAAATTTCTGGAAATTTTTCACTTAAAGATGAGCCACGTTCAGGTCGGCCAAATGAAGTTGATGGTGACCAAATCAAAGCATTAATCGAATTGGATCGTCATTATCACATAAAAAGTCTTGGACTGGTGTAAAAGCTTGATATTTGGGTACCACATGTATTGAAAGAAATTCATTTAACACACCGAATCAACGCTTGTGATATGCACCTTAAACGCAATGCATTCGATCCGTCCGATGAAAAATGGATTGTTTACAACAACGTGAGTCGAAAACGATCATGGTCCAAGCATGGTGAACCAGCTCAAACCACTTCAAAGGCTGATATCCACCAAAAGAAGGTTATGCTGCCTGTTTGGTCTGATTGGAAGGGTTTCGTATATTTTGAGCTGCTTCCAAGGAACCAAACGATTAATTCGGATGTTTACTGTCAACAATTGGACAAATTGAATACAACCATCAAGGAGAAACGACCAGAATTGGTCAATCGTAAAGGTGTCATATTCCACCAGGACAACGCTAGACCGCACACAGCTTTGGTCACTCACATCGAAATGGAAGACGGTGCACAAGAAAATTAAAAAGTTTTAGTAATTTGATTATTATATCATGAATATTTGAACCTAATTATGGAAAATATCCCGGAATAACAAAAAAAGCTGAACGAAAACGCTATCTGACAAATTAAAGGGTTATTTTTTAGTCTCGAAAACTTCTTAATATACCGTTTTTTGTACTTTTTTCTTCATCTTCAATGAATTCCAGGCCTAAATTATACCTACACATTTTGGTGTTTAATTTTTTCTCAAATTTACAACACAAAATCAATCAGCAGATATTTTTGTTACCTCCTATTTCGTTGGTAACAAAATTTACAGGGTAACAGTGAACTCAGAATACGAAATGATAACAAAATTTACTGAATTGTAAATTTTAATACCCAGGTAAATTTTGTTACCTCGACAGAATAGGGCTGTTAACCACTTATTTTGTTGGCATTTCAATCATACGATCACAAATCAGCTGTTTTTCACATCCAAAAAAGTTATAGAAAATCAATTTGTATAAAATATTAAGATACATTTTCTAATTTCGGTCGCCCCTCGGCTCCTCATAAAAAACCATTCCGGCTTAGTATAAACTGTAGGTCCCTCCATTACAAAGCGCCAATTTTATATATAATATAATAATAAACTTTCAAGACACGCTTATCACGCTCATCCAATTTTTGAGGGTACGTATGTATTTGCGCACTTTAATGTTTTTAATGAATTGTACAGAAGCCGAAAAGAGAAGGACGGTGTGGGATTAGAAGACTTAGGTTTGTGATGAGATTCCCAGCACATTCACCAAAACTCACGATAATCCATATTTTTCTAATGAATGCGGATTAACTTGATAGATAATGAAATTGGATTCATTTCTATGCGATAAAAATTTCACTTGTTCGTCCATTTAATTCACAGGTAATCAATCAATCGTTTTGAGTTTTATCATTTACTCCAAAATTCTTTCATAGTAATCATTTTTTTTAGGTATGCGCATCTCATTTTCCAAGTGTATGCGAATTGGCACTTCACCATAACAACATCGAAATTATGACGTTTACACAAACAACAACGAAATCTAAAGGAGCATATATTCGAATTAGAGCCAAGTATTTCTTCTTCGAGAGCTTGGAACGCACGAACGTGAGTACTTCCCAAATCGCTAAGGCGAGGAAATTCAGCTTTCTGCGTTTGATCGAGTTCACTGGGGACTGAAATATGAATATTTGTAGTTCATGTTTCTAGGCTATAATTGCATAAGAGATTATCGTTACAATTTTCTACTCTTAGTGACACTGCCATTATTAGAAGTCAGTCGCTCGAGATACTTGGCGTTTGCCACAAATGGCGAGCCGCATGCCATTCGTCGTCACTTGCCACACATATGTACATAATTCATTGCAAGCAGGTCAGCAATGCGTTTCCATCTGGCTGACCGCCAGGCTATGTGCCAGCGCCCATCTGTTGGTTTTCAAAACAAAGATTTGTAGTTATAATGGTAGCTGTTGCGGCCGACCTACTAACTATCGTTGCCATTCATTTTCACCTGTTCGCGATTTTACTGGCTCGTTATGTGTTTTCACCTGCTCTCCAATTACCGTTAAAATTTTCAGTTTCGTTTGTACTATATTCCATTAGTCCCCAGCACACACAAGACAAATATTCTGCAGGCTTAGATAGCTGCCGTATAGCTTCGTATAGATCAAGTGTATCTATATATTAATGTTATATTTGATTTCCTAAGAAAATTTATTTAACATATCTTGTTTGTTTGAAAATGAAAATATTTGAAATAAAAAAATCAGTGACATTGTGTTTATTTAAAAATATTGAGAGAAGTTCCCGGTTCAGAAAATCAACTATCCCTTCGATCTTGCCTTGAAGCATGTAGTAGCCTATTTCCACCGGACATTAAATGCAGTTTATCTTAAATACATTTAAACATCGCATATCTCTCTATTGACCATTTAACAGAAAATGTTACATTTATTTCCAGAGTCGTGTATTTTCGGATTTAATGGGGGGAAGAGGCCTTTACTTTGCATGGTGAAATTTTTCCTTCAAAAATTCCTTTTTTGCATTAAGTTTAATAATGAAAATTGAAACAAACCGCCGTTAGTGGAACCTTACGAAGGATCAAAGTTTCCTGGATTAATAAAATTGTATAAATAGCAAAATAAAATAAGTGCGGTCTCTTGAATTCATGATTTCAATACTTTGACGAATTTTGCAAATTTCAAACGTGAACAAAAATCGAATAACGACATTTCATTCACTTAACAGAGGCTTTAAATGCATTTAAGTGGTCGGTGGAAATCGGCTATAACAGTTGATCTGTAGCAGTAAGGCCTTTTTCTGGGTTGCTGATTTAATACCCCCTAGAAAGCTGTTGAGTTTTTGAGGACGGAGGCAGACTCCCACATCAAGCAGGCTTGAGGAACAGTTGAGCGCCGCTATATCTATGTGCTCATCCTTTTATGTACAGCAGCAACATATCGTGTATTTTTAAATTAGCGCCAATTCGGCTATCAGGCAGCCAACGGCTCCATATATTATATATAATAAAAAATACATAATAAATTGGTTGAAATTATTTCTCATAAAAATGAAATAGTTTTAAAAAGAAAAATTATGTGGTATTTCTAACATAAAAATAGTTCCAATTTTCGGTGTAACTTCATAACTTTAGAGTGGTTTGACCGAATTCAACCCAAAGTTCCTATTCTAAATAAATATAAAAATTCAGAATTCAACTAAATTTGTACAGAATGGTTTTCTACTTGACTTTCCCTCCTGATTTCTGACACCATTCATCAGGAACTCGGTTTGAATGAACTATAGGACGGTATTTCGAGCTGGAAACGAAACTATTAAATTTCGGAAAGGTCGCAAAAACAGCTGGTACGATGGGATTGCTGAGCCGCTGACGATCGACCACTGCACGTGTGGGTTGGGATAGATACCGAGTGTTGAAGAGGGAAGCAAGACGCATCTGCAGACATAAAAGAAAGTGGCTGAGATGCGTGAGTATGAAGAACTTGAGAAGATGGCCGATAAGAGTAATACTTGAAAGTTCTACGAAAATATCTCGCGACTTACAGAAGGTTTCAATACCGGGGCAAACTCTTGTAGGACCTAGGGGGTGATATAGTGACTGATGCCCAGAGTATACTAATTTCTTTTGGAAGGAATTCTTTTCTGATCAGTTATCAGTTAATACGCAGATGATTTGCAATAGGGCATCTTTTATTCTATACATAAAAATATATATATTAGTTTATAAATTGAGAACGACTACACAGAATTCAATCAATTAATACAGTATGTCTGGGCTTTTACGTAGATAATCGTATTGTAGCTTATGTAAAATGCGTCATTTGGATAAAGGGGCGTGGTATCTCCATTTTCTTGCACATATATAAAAATAAATTTATGTTACCCCGAGAACGGCTTCTCAGAATTCAACAAAATGTATCCGGTGTCGGCCGCCCTGGTTAGCATTGCGTACTGCCGTTCGAAAGGACAGGGTTCAAATTTTGGTACGACCAACGTTTAAAAATTTTTAATACCTGATACCTTAATCCTTCCTATACATTTTTCAGCCAATTAACGCCTGAAAGTATGGAGCATTCCAACACAACACACTAACCAACCTGTTAAGAAAATAGCGGCTAAATTAGCGCACTTAATAGTTGTTGGTTAATAATGAATACAATAACAGATTACATGACTGATGTTGGCGCAGTGGTAGAATACTCGCCTGTTAAGACAGGCTCCGTTGGTTCGATCCCTGCTATAAGAAGTCTGATGAGGAGATGTGGTGATCTCCGAAACAGCTGTCACTTCTACCTTTTTTCAATTCATACAAACAACAAGGCCTCGTAGTTTACTTAATAAAAAATAAAAAACTTACTTGAAATAAAAAATTAAGTTATATTTACTAATTATGGTCGCCCCCCAGCAAGGAATATCAACCCCTCCGAGTGTACTTCTGATCAGCCGTTCAGAGGCGGCTTAGTAAATTGTAGGTCCCTCCATTTGTTGGAAAAACATCAAGATGCAAAAGCACAACTTGGAGGAAGAGCTCAGCGGTTGCAAAGCTGTCGATATCCCGATTTAGGAAAAGTGAGCATTGGAACTTCTCCGGCTTTACATTTCAAAAATAAAAGCTCTGAATGGTGAAATCAGTCTAATTCTGTTTTTGCCACTCTAGCGTCACATGTCTTGCCACAACCACATCTGAACAATTTGAAGTGAAGTGGATGTTCAAATTTCATTACCTTCAATACAACGGAATGTCCACCTTTCTTTTTATATTAACTTTAGTCAACTTAAAGTGGTATCTAAAATCAGACTTATAACTTTCACCGAAGGCATAGATATTTAACACAAACTTATGTAAAAAAAAAGCTCTGCTGAAAATTCAGAGAGACGTATCTGATATATACTTAGGCAACCCATGGTTCGAGGCTGCGTGTGCGTTTGTGTGTAAAAATGTGATTTTTTTTACTTGTTAAACAGTACATTGGTCCTTACAAGAAGCGGTAGCTGAATACTTTACGATGGGATATGAGGTCTACTACAAGTCGTAGATGTGGAATATATCAGATTGGATTGCTTTGTAGCCCGTTGTGTCCTTTGATATAACACGGTAACTTGCCCCACCTCACAGTGAGCAGTCCCAACAAGCCGGGCAAGTTACGTAAGAGAAACCGGAATGAACGCCACGGGCTATCATATATTCGTCGAAAAAAGGTGTAATATATTCAAGCTTTGAGAGGTATACATTAAATGCATACATGAAATTAGCTTTTGAATTAATCCACAAAATTACTCTGCAGTGGGTTACATAATGGCAGTGCTGTCCAAACTTTTTTGGCGTGGCCACAGAAGCATTTATTTTCGATTGGTAATGCGACGTATGACATTTTCTACCCAATGATTAGTTAGCGCTCAGTACATATGCTCAGTGAACGGTCACCATATTTGTGAGCGTAAAATTTTTATTCTTGCTTGATCGGTCAACTGCTGTATACAGAAAAAATGGATCGCGAAAATTTAAAAGTATTTTTACTTGAAAGTGCTTGTGACGACAATTTACTAGATTTTTTAGGGTAGCATTGTGTTCCTGAAAATTAATTTCTCAGTAAAATCGCTCACTGAACATGTTTACTGAGCGCTCAGTTCGCTAAATACACCCTATGATTGTTTATTTAAGATTAATGCGACGGATGATATTATTTTTTTTCTGTCAATTTATCAAAGTCTGGCTTCGATTGGATTAGTTCGCAACGAAGTTCGGATTCCAAATTTTGTTGCGATATTTCATTGCGGTATTTATTTGCGCGCGAGACTTGAGAATGATGCTTCACAAACATACATACATATGTGGAACCAAATATGCCTAAAAACGTTGGTACAATGTCTTTGAGTGCCAAGAAATTACATTCAGATAACAAACGCCTCCACAATGCATCGCCCATTTCTTTTGGCAAGCCACTTTCTTCATGAATCAACGAAATATCAAATTCCAAATGAATTTTCTTTGTACCGAAAAGGTCTGACAATTTTTTAATATTATTTGGGTCGCAAACGAATGGGTTTTTGAGAAATTTGAATGCCAACTGAGACTTTTGGAAATCTTCAAATAGCGAATCGAACGCGTTAATCAAAATATCAATATATTGAATGAAAATGTTCGTATATAAAAATGCGACCAATTTCAACTTGAATTCTTGAACATCTTTCGCCAAGTCCCCAAAGGAACATATTCTTTCTTTGTATCATCACATTTAACTCGTACAGATGTTTCGTAATATCGGCCAAAAAGTAGAGTTTTTCTTTCCATATATGTGTCGATATTTTACTGAATTCTACATCCAAGTGTTGTTCCATGAGAAAAAGTCCGATTTCATCAAACGGATAACAAAACCAATTCAAGACATTTCCACAGCTTAGCCAGTGAATGCTTTTAAAGAACATTATGTCACAGAATTTCGAATTAAATTTTTTCTGTCAACAATTTGAATCGACGATGACGTTTACGTTTTATGTTTTATGTGCGAACATTTAAGTTATGAAATTTGTTGACGAAAATAATAAATTTGTTCAAAAGTGTCCGTCAATAACAGCCGACTGGGAGAGCGATATGCACACACGAGTTATCGACGCTACTCAGAGCGGCGAAATGTTGCAGCATTAGTTTACACGGGGACCGTGTCGCTGTACTCGTTCAAGTTTTGCTTTCCCTGCGAGAAAGCTTCCAATCATTTGAGTCGACATATGTCAGGAATGCATGATGTCATATCTCGTCAGCTCGTAGAATGATTTTCCGTTCACTTCCTTAAGACCGAAATGACAAAAGTAATGTTTACATTTGTATATGTGTACGCCATTCTCCCTTCGCTTCCTGGTGTATTTTCGTCATTCTTGTCAGGCAAACAGAACATAGTTGAGCAACAGCATTGATGCCGAAGGAAATCAGCTGTGACAAATATTTTCCCACATATACATATACATACATACGCTTTGACAAAAATAAACAAATATAAACATTTTTAAGATTCAGTCTTTATTTCAATATTCAACATAAATCATGTACATGGTTTACATAACATACAAAGGAAATAACAATACAACAATAAACTCGTTTTCAAAAATCAGCAAAATATTATAAACAAAACTGCATATAGGGAAGTCTTTAGTAGTGACGCAGCTCCTCAGCTCCATGAACGCCTCCGTCATAATCGCAGCTCCTTTGAAGTGTGAAGACGTCAAAGTAAAATTAAAAAATAGTTTTCGAATTATAAAGTTATTAATATCTTAATGCAGTTGTACCTCGCAAAGTTTTTTTGAATATTTTTGAAATGTGCTGCTGCTGTAAGCTGAGAAGCGTCCATTCTGTTGAACTAGCTCCATTAACAGAATTTTCCGTACAATTGGAGTGCCCTTAAATAAAAACAATGTAAAGAGTTATGAAACTGCTGCGAAAAAAACGATAAAAAATGGCGTTTTACTCGAAAATAAGAACAAAGAAATTCGGATAATCCGTCCATCTCTCATGTTCCAAAATGCATGGGTAAAGTTATTGATGCACAAACAAAAGCAAACTGCGCATCGCTAAGGTTTGTGATGCTTTATTGTATCATAAATTCTTAGCAACAACGGCCGACGTCGGAGTACAAGTTTTTGGCGCTAATTATTTTGGATCTGTTTTATATTTTAGTCATTTCACCAAAAATCAACTTATTTGCAACCGCGTTCATATAAAGCATTTCAAAATTCTTTTTTGAGTGCATACATACATATATAAAGCCTTAGAAAATAGTTTGTATAAGACCATATTTATTTATAAAACTACTAATATAAATACTTAAAAAATCTCTTATACAAATTATTTATTTAAACGGTTATACATGCCTTATTAAAAATGTATACGAATGAGATAGGCATGGTGTATTCATATGGAATTAGTCCATACGAAAGAGTGAGTTGAAAATTCACGTCTATGGTAAGTATCTCTTAGTTTTTTCCAACGGTCTTTACAATATAAAGGAAAGTTTTTCGTTTTATAAGAGACCATCTCCTACTGACATGCCTAAATTGGAGCGTTCGGCGTTGCTATCCCTAGAGGTCTTCATACTCACGCATCTCGGCCTCTTTCTTTTTTGTCTGCAAATGCGACTTGAGAGTAGAGTAGAGTAGAAAATCGTTCGGCAGTCTCTTGTGATTGCAGCATTTCGATGTCGATCTTTCCTTGTGTTTGTTGGCGAACGTTCTTCGATACACAGAGACGCATTCGTAGCTTTGTTACAAGAAGATAGTGGTTCCAATCATGAGCGACCGGTTTTGTGTTTTTCGATCAGGGGACAGTCAAGTAGCTTGATGTATTTTTTTGAGCTGGAATCTAGTTCTGCAGCCAACCATACATCGAGCCCCGGCGAAGTCGATCAGCCTCAGCCCATTAGGGGATGTTTCTTTGTGAATGCTGAATGTTTCGATAGTCGTACCAAAGATACCTTCTTTGCCCAACCTGTCATTAAAATCGTCAAGCACGATTTTCACGTTGTGTAAGGAGGCAGCGCTCGTAAGGATGCTCTAGGTGCTCATAAAAGACATCTTAGGTAAAATATTTTGCTTTGATGCGGATTGTGGCGAGATACTCATCCACCAGGGTGAATGCCAGTGAATGGAGATCCCCTCTCCGACCACAAATTTAGGCTTCTCTATACGGCCGTTCTAACAAATGTCTCAAGAACCTACTCGCTTTCATTCTTATCCCGACCATCGCATTTCTTGCACGGCGGTGATGCCATCCTTTATTCATACGAGAACATCAACCACCTGGGCACCTTCCCAATTAAGGGACCGGACATTCCAGGGGCATGCCCTCAAGTCGTGATCCTTGATTCGTTTGCGGGGTCGTCAACGGAAAGGGGGTATCTCATCTGAGGCGTTACTAATTTTTTCACTGGAAATGGTTTCGGGTCCCAAACTCAGCGCACAACTTCGCTAGGCGAGTAAATTTAAAGTTATTGCATATTTATAAAGCGAGCTGGTTGCTTCAAGATAGACGCCCGATCGCAGCCGCACCTCTGATAAACATACTCTGCAATTCGAGTTCTGCAGACCCTCAATAATATTTTTTCAGGGTGGTGACACAAGAAAATTGCACCTTAAGTAATTCGACACATATACATATGTACAGATACGCATCTTGTTTGGACTGACATCGAAAATGCTTTGAAAATAAGTTTTGTGGAAAGTAGGTTCAAGAGTGTTTGATCCGACTTTTAGTTTTTTCGTTGACAGATCTGACAGGTTTTATTTACATTTATATAAGGAAATAGCGAAGAAAATTGTTAAGTCATCACTTTAAACAATTGAATTAAACAAGTTTTAAGCAACATCCTACCTTACAGAATTTTGGCAAGTAAAATAAAATAACAAAAGAGTTAACATTAAAGAATTCATACAGAATCAATGACAGCAATTGCTCAAGCATCAAAATATTCGAAGTATTAAACTTAAAAGAAAGATCGTAAATATAAACAATCATATAACAGTTCTTTACAATTTGATGCTGTACATTCGTTCTGGACATAAATAAGAATATTTTATCGATGTGTGGATTATCAAAAAAATGGTAATAACTTCTTTTGAGAAAAATTTTCGCTTAAAAAGAAGCTCATTTCTGGGGTGTGCTGGTACTGCGTAATTATATGAAACTCTATTTTGAAAACATTTGGTTTCATTAATAACAACGTATAGCTGTAAATCTGAACTTTTGAACAAAGCAGATTCAGAAAATATAAATTATAGTGCTAAAGCTATTAAAGTTTCTAAATCGACATGGTTTCTCTTACCTACTTTTGGAATTCGTAAATTCCATTGTTGGAGAAACTTAAGGCGTTGATCATAAATTTGAGGAGGAGCTGTGCTGGAGGAGCAATAAGGTTTTATGTTGAAAAGCAACAAAAGTTTCGCTGTATGAACTTAAACCTACAATATTTTTAACCGCGTTACCAACTACTGTTTCATTAAGTTTAGAATAAGCATCTTACTATTTGATAGCAACTCTGATATTAAGACGTTTTGTCTCAGTCTCACGAAGGTTATTTTTTACACAAAACACTATGTGTAAGAAAAGTAAAGATAGACCAAAGGGATATGAAGCAAAATAATTGTTTTTCATTGAAAATTCATGGATATTCTTTGCCAAGTGCAAATGTCGACGTCTTTATTATTTAAACAATAAAGAGTAGAAAAGTAAATAATTGAGAATTGTTTTTGCTTTACTAATTAATCACAGAATAAGTGAATTGGTAACGTTTTGTTTTTTTTACGGTGAAAAATCTTTTTTAACGACAAGTGAAATTGGGCAGGCCAGATTGCAAAGAAGGAAACAGCACCGCATTGGCTGAAGCAGCGGAAGAAGAAGAAACTCCCGTCTGCTGCTATTGTAAGCAGCGTCAGCGCCGCGGCTGTGGCATACGAACACCCAACCCCGACCCCGGAATCTTAAGAGTGTAAAGATGGCGACCAGTCGTACTAGTCGCATACAACAAACCAAGAATATAAATTCATTCTTTTCCAAGATTCAGGGTGCATTTTCAGAGGCATGTACACAGCAGCGATTATCCACTGATAAGAAAACATTAGAGAAAACCTGGAAATTAATGGATAAAGTTGTGAAATTGTGTCAACAGCCCAAAATGAATTTGAAAAACAGTCCTCCCTTTATACTGGATATATTACCGGATACGTATCAACGACTGCGTCTCATATATTCGAAGAATGAAGATCAGATGCATGTCTTACATGCCAACGAACATTTCAATGTGTTCATAAATAACTTGATGCGAAAGTGCAAACAAGCCATTAAATTGTTCAAAGAAGGGAAGGAGAAAATGTTTGATGAGAATTCTCATTATAGAAGAAATTTAACAAAACTTAGTTTAGTATTTTCTCATATGCTCAGCGAACTAAAGGCAATTTTTCCAAATGGAGTATTTGCTGGTGATCAATTTAGAATCACAAAATCCGATGCTGCAGATTTTTGGAGAGTTAACTTTGGAAATAGGTAAGTATGCAATTAATTAATTGTGATCAATAATAAAACAAAACTTGATATAATATAATCAATTTCATTGATAAAAGTGACAAGCTTGTAACTCGAATCATATTTTTATGAACCATAAAATAATTAGTACAATTTTTTCTATTCCTTTACCTGATCTGAAGTTGTTATTGAATTATAATAGCTTACTTCGTTTCAGTAAATTTATTATTGGTCTTATTTCTATTACCGGGTTAGTTATGTTTTAAAATCTGCCTTGTAAGACACCAAAGAAATTTGTTCATGGAATCTGCTTATTTTAAGCTTGTCAATGGGTTTTAGAATCTAAATAAATAATGAAATTCTATTAGAAGAAATGAACGAAGTTGCTCTTTAAAGACCTGCAAATGCCTTCTTTGAAAGCAATTACTTCAGTGTTGGGCATGTTTCTGGCACGTAGCACTCCTGCCACTTTTATTTTCTAACTTGATCCGTCTATTCGATAACCAAATAAAAACAAATTTTTAGTGGTTTTTTAGTATATTTGATTTGGCACTTTCTCCGACATAAAAGAGCTGTATAGCAGTTTTGCGCTCATTTCCTGCATAAATAAGATACAACACTGATCCCACAACTTTATCTTGATATTTGGATACCCTCAGGTAAATTTCTTTACTTTAATTGTAATCTGGTCTGGAATTTTTTCAGATTCATTTTAATGTTGCGTATGAGTCCTTAAGTCAATACCACATCAAATCCCATTTGAAGTGTATGTAAGTTTGTGACTGGAACTGTAGTGTTGCCGCCCATAGGGACGGCTAGATCTAGCTAGCGTAACTGCTGCCTCTTAATCTGAAGAACCATGTGGTTGTCATCGCCTATTTCGAACAGCTTATAGTTTCATGTGCCGCAGGCAATTCGCTGAGGCCTATAAATATTGGGTTGCCCAAAAAGTAATTGCGGATTTTTTAAAAGAAAATAAATGCATTTTTAATAAAACTTAGAATGAACATGAATCGAATATATAATTGTCATTTAGTTCGATAAGCTTTTGCCATCTTCCTGGCAAATTTAGTATTCCACGCTCGTAGAACTTCTGGCCTTTATCTGCAAAAAACTGAACCAAGTGCGATATTATAGCCTCATCATTGCCGAAAGTTTTACCATTTAAGGAGTTCTGCAAAAATCGAAATAAATGGTAGTCTGATGGTGCAAGGTCAGGGCTATATGGTGGATGCATCAAAAGTTCCTAGCCAAGCTCACTCAGTTTTTGACAAGTGACCAAAGATGTGTGCGCTCTAGCGTTGTCCTGGTGAAATATGACACCTTTACGATTGACCAATTCTGGTCGCTTCTCCTTGATGGCTGTATTCAATTTGTCCAATTGCTGACAGTAAACATCCGAATTAATCGTTTGGTTCCTTGGAAGCAGCTCAAAATATACGACACCCTTCCAATCCCACCAAACAGACAGCATAACCTTCTTTTGGTGGATATCAGCCTTTGAAGTGGTTGGAGCTGGTTCACCATGCTCGGACCATGATCGTTTTCGACTAACGTTGTTGTAAACAATCCATTTTTCATCTCCAGTTATGATTCGTTTTAAAAACGGATCGAATTCATTGCGTTTAAGGTGCATATCACAAGCGTTGATTCGGTGTGTTAAATGAATTTCTTTCAATACATGTGGTACCCAAATATCAAGCTTTTTCACCAGTCCAAGACTTTTTATGTGATAATGATTGGTTGATTTTGGTATATTTAACTTCTCTCCTATCTCACGCTCAGTTACATGACGATCCAATTCGATTAATGCTTTGATTTGGTCATCATCAACTTCATTTGGCCGACCTGAACGTGGCTCATCTTTAAGTGAAAAATCTCCAGAACGGAATTTGCGAAACTAATTTTGACACTGTCTTCCTTTTAAGGCTTCCTCACCATACACATCTCGTAACTTTTTAGCAACCTGCTCCGCGTTTTTTCCTTTACGGAAATAATAAAGTAAAATATGACGAAAATGCTCCTTTGTGGGCTCCATATTAAAATTGACGCCAAACAAACAAATGTAAACAAAATTTCGCGCACTTTTTTTTCTAAAGCAAGCTAAAAGTAACAGCTGATAACTGACAGAAGAAAGAATGCAATTACAGAGTCACAAGCCATTGAAAAAATTTGTCAACGCCGACTATATGAAAAATCCGCAACTACTTTTTGGGCAACCCAATAGTTTGCAAAACATTTCTATTGAAAAGTCCTATTCGGCCTGTCCTCTTCCCATATAAGATCTGAGGAAATCGTAACTAAGGCCCTGTTGTTGAGGCCGATTGTCTAAGGTAAAAGTTTTGTTCTGCAACTTATATTATTTAGGCCAGGCGTATTTGAATACCTCGACTGGCAATCCATCTAAACCCAGTGCTTTTGTGTCCTTCAGGAGGGCTATTGCTATTCTAACTTCAACCTAGTCAGCTAATGAAACGTCTACTTCAACTCTCTGACCTTACGATATAAATTTTTTAAAATAATATATAAATAATTTATATTTCCAGTACTTTGGTTCCGTGGAAAATATTTCGGCAGGAATTAACCAAAGTGCATTCCATATCATCTGGCCTTGAAGCAATGGCGCTAAAAACAACAATAGATTTAACATGCAACGATTACATTTCAAATTTCGAGTTTGATGTCTTTACACGATTATTCCAACCGTGGGGGACGCTCCTTCGTAACTGGCAAATACTTGCTGTTACACATCCCGGTTATGTTGCTTTTTTGACCTACGATGAAGTTAAAGCACGATTGCAGCGTTACATTCATAAAGCGGGTAGCTATGTGTTCAGGTTGGTAAAAACTGTTAATAAATGTCGTATGTATATATTAATATTTTTATATGTAGATTATCGTGTACCCGCCTTGGTCAATGGGCGATAGGTTATGTTACTGCTGATGGCGAAATTTTACAGACCATACCACAGAACAAATCCCTGTGTCAAGCTCTACTGGACGGACACAGGTGAGGAAACTAATTTGAATTGATTATGGAATGTCTTTTAAAGCTGTTCAAAAAACTTTTAGGGAAGGCTTTTACTTGTATCCAGATGGACAAAGCTGTAATCCTGATTTATCACAAGCTGTTCAAAGTCCTACTGAAGATCATATCACAGTTACACAAGAACAATATGAGTTGTATTGCGAGATGGGTATGTGCAATGAAAACCTTACTAAAATCAAAAACAGAAATAATCAGTTATCATATTTATGGTTTAGGTAGCACATTTCAATTATGCAAAATTTGTGCCGAGAATGATAAGGATATACGCATAGAACCGTGTGGACATCTACTATGCACGCCCTGCCTTACATCTTGGCAAGTTGATTCGGAAGGACAGGTAAACATATTTTTCTACATACGTTATATACCATTTGTGCATTTAAATGCTATCAAATTTAAAAATTATATTTCAAAAAAAATTCTTCAAATATCATTTAATTTTCTGATTCTTCACATTATTAAATGAAAGATGTATATGAAAATCCCAAAATTTTGTCAATTAATTTTCTGTTAGCAATTGATTTTGCATTACTGTGTCTACTTTGACAATCCTACGTATTGCGCTTGTATCACAAATATTTTTATACTTGCTTTTTATAAATCTACCATAGGGTTGTCCATTTTGTCGAGCCGAAATAAAAGGAACTGAACAAATTGTAGTAGACGCTTTTGATCCGCGTAAACAGCACAACCGGAATTCGACAAATGGTCGTCAACAGAATACCGATGACGATGACACAGAGGTATAAATAATAAGTAGTTTATTTTAGATATTGTTAGAAGCGCTGCGCTTTGCAAATAACTCAGCCAAAACGCCAAAACACAAACGATTCAAGAATATTATAAAACAATCAATCAATATCCTTGTTAAATACCACTGCCAAATAGTTGTATCCTAAAAGCGAGTTATGTTTTGGTGACTGCTGCACATGACTGATAGCGACATTCTCCGTAATTTCAGTAGAGCTTGTTTTGTAGAAAGAATGATCATTTTTTAATTACTTTCGCTTGACGAAATCGAAAATATATCAGTTCCATCTTTAGAAAGGAAGTAAAACATTATTACTAAATCAATGTGATTAAAAAACTGGAACGTATGTAAATATATTTCTACTTAAATTGATTGGTTGTTATTCATTCTTGTTGGTAGTTTTCTTGAGCGGAAGGCGAAGTTTTGTTTTAATGAAAACACGTTTTCTAGAACAATTCTGTAAATAGTTGCTATATAATCTATTTATTACATATTTGTATGTTTACCGAAGCGCCTTATTTATTATTATTGTTTCCATAGATCGTATTTAATCATGTCTATATGTTAAGTTTATATTTTTTGTATTTATAATTCAATTAATATTTCATTTTTTCATATTTATATGGATAAATATTTATGAAACTCCATATAAATATGTCCCTATGCACATGTACATATTCATATTAATGCATACTAAAGTATTTCAACTGGCTTTTTTTTTTTATAATAAAAGTTGCCTACCGAATAACAATTAATTGAATTCATGACAAAGCTTTTGGCTAAATGTAGTAACTGAACGGTACAAGTTCATATTTTTCTGTTAAATATGCACTAAGTCGTAGCAAATAAATAATTTAACTATAACATAAAAGCCATTCTTATATATCAATGATCGATCTGTCTTGAAATATCTTAGTACACTTAAATATGGAAAGTATTTATTTACTGCAATATCAATAAATGACAGATATCGTAAAACCACTGTAACACCTTTTGCTTCGTAATAATCTTAAAATTAGCAAGAGACCCCTGACATGTTTTATATATTAATTTGTCTAGTTTTATTTAACTAGGAAAAACCTCCAAAGATAAATAAGTAGAATTTATTTAAATAGAATATAATAAAATAGAACAAAGAACTAGAGCGGCGTATTTAGATTAGTTCATAAACATTTATAAATATTTAGTTCTTCTTTTTGTTAAAAATTTCATTATGGAATTCATTATCTTTATTTAATCATATCACACTGCATCATCATCTTACAACTGGTATACAGTCAAAGACAAAAGTTTAAAACTCCAATTTTTATTAAAGTTAAGTATGTCAGAGTAAATGTAAGAATGCAGTTTATTTAATGTAGATAATTTATCAAAAATGCAATGCAAAATAATATTCAATGTCGCATAGATAACGGTAAATTCATTAAAAAACAAAAGTTCAAATACAATACATACTATTTCACATTTCGATGAAACTAAACTAAAAATAAAGGGGCTTAAAACAATTTTAATATTTTGATGGCCCACCTCCATATGGTTAGGGTCGTTGTTTTTGAACTTCTAAAACCCAAGGAATCCACTCAAGAAGGTCTATGTTGTTCCAAAATACTTTTATAAACATATTTATTCACTAATCCATCGATAAAAGTTAAATCTCCTATGACAGTTGCTCCAATCGCTCCCCAAATCTTGACGCTACGTTCACCGTGCTTAACGGTTTGTATTACATTTTGGGTTTGGTAAGCTGTTATTACTTTATGGTAAATTTTTAGGCAGCCAACGCTTCCGAACACATCAAATTTCGATTCACTCGTAAACAGAACTCTTCTCCAAAAAATTCATCAATGTCCTTATATTTATTCGCAAATTTAAGACGAAGTTGTTTATTTTTCTCAGATGTGAAAGGGTTTCTACGTGGAACCGTGCTTCAATAGCTATCTTACCGTAGAGCTTTTGCTATAGTTTTTGGGTGTACACTTTTGCCCAATGTTTTAGCGATACTGTCGGCTATCTTTGGAGCACTTGTTTTATGATTTTTTTTTAGGTGTCTTGGACGCGTTGATCTTGACATATTTTCAACAGATTTGTGAGTGCTTTTTTTTTTTTTTTTTTTTTTTTTTGTAGGAGAAGTCGCGTATACTACCGAGTAAATAAATAAATAGCATTTATACTAAAATACTTAAATTTATCAATAAAAATTGGAATTTTATAGGTGTATTTAAACTTTTGTCTTTAACTGTATTCAAGTATTTACAATAATTTGTTATATTTTCTTGCTAAAAAGCTTTGGTGTACAACCATTTAGAATATCAATGAAATGTAGAATTTCGATGCAGGTTGTCAACTATGGCAAATCGATATGATATATGATTTGATAAGCATTTCGGATCCATAATCCAATTTCTGTTATAAACCTCATTGGAAAACTCGAGTATTGAAACCGATTATGCATGCACACATAAATATGAGAACTAAATGTTTATTTGCATTCATTTCGTCACGTTAAGGATATAAACGTTTCATATTCTACTTGTCATTCTTAAATTACATTAACTTTTAACTTAAAAGTATTTCATTGGCATAATAACTTTTCAAGTAAATCAAAAGACTGTAAATTTATTGTATCTATAATATTTTGTAATATATGTTTTTTTTTTGTAAATGGGAAACAAATGTTTTGTTTATTTGCCATCATACATACATTTAATCCATGCCGTTTATTCAAATGCTAGTATGCTAATTCTGATTTAACAATTAAAGTCGGAAGATCTCCAGATCTCCACATCTCATAAATAGACAGACCTACTTTACGAATCCAACATCTAAACAAATTTAGTGACATGTAGTACTTTGCTTGATAAAGAATGACGGTCATTATAAGCTTTAATATAATCCATATCCCTATGGATGCCGATTATTTAAAAGTTTTTTGTAAATATTTATAATATTTTTATATGCTTTCTCCGCGTTACTTCCCTTTAAGCTGGATTATTTTAAATGACGGCTGGCGCAGTGGTTTATCCAAAGTAATAGGAAATGAATTGTCCTAATTGCGATCGCCCCTGGTAAAGAACGCCAACGAGTAAATCAATCCGAAAAATATTTCTAATATAAAATAAAAAGATCCTCATAGGAACTCATCAGCAGTTATGGGGTGAACGCAATTAGGAAAGTCTTATAATTTGGAATATACGACTATGTATTGTAAAGGCTTATATAAAATACTAAATGCATTCTTAAATGACATATGGATAAATTCTCGGCCAAGTTTTAAATGGGGCAGAAACAAATTATAATGAATATTCTAAATGTGCTCTTTTGGTGTACTTTTGGAGTCGCAATAAATACACTCCATTTTGTTCTTTACCAGTGAATTACTTTTTGCTATATCTCTTACTTTATGAAAGAATAATATATGTATGTATAAACCTTCCAGCAAACCTTTTTTTTATAATGTTTCTTTTCCGAAGTGGCGCCAATCTGTGTAAAGTAAAACAATTAGTGCAAATAGTTGATGCGTTTTTGTAAATTTTTATAATATTTGGTCAAATACATTAAATATTTATTTAGTTTATGACTTCCAATCCATACTTTATTTCCATTATAATTTGTATCGATGTTTATTTGTGGAGCACGGTGTCATTTAAGAAATGAACTGGTGTATATTTTTCAAATATAATATTAAAAGTTTTTTAATTGTCTGAAGGCTAATAAAAATATATTAATTTTTGCTATAAAATTAGTTTTATGTGAGTCTTTAGTTTATCTTTTGCAATGTTACACATTTTTTAACTAACGAACAAAATAATAAAAGGAAAAACCTGAAAATAAAATACTTAAGTCAAGTTGAAACTTAATCATAAATCTTTTAAATTTAGTGAAAAATAATCTATTACATTGCTGACACTTATAATAGCGAAAATTTAGCATATTTGAATTATTTTATTTAATTTAACTACTGATATGATAATAATTAATAATTAAGTTGTATAGTTATGTTTTAGTAAATCGTACATAAAATAAATACAAATAAATTAATCGATATTGAAATTGTTTTTTTTTTTTTAATTTTTGCCTTGTTAAATTATTTTAATGATTTTTTTTTTGATTCTGCATGTTTTTTATTTGTTTTGCTATTTTAGATGATGTATCACTTTATAAAATTCTCAAAATATTCAATGTGTTATGTAGAAAAATTATTATTTACAGTATTTGTTAAAAAAAAAAAACATTTCACATTCTTCAATAAAAATCTGAAAATGAAGTTAAATAAGGAACATAAGTTATTTTTATTATGGCCTCGAGCGCATGAAGAATTCGCCAAGTTCATTTGCGTACATCTGTATATATTACATAAAACATATTGTAATCATTTTCCTGTTTTTAAAGGTTGTTTAGGAACCTGTGTTTTTTATTTAAAAAATTGTGGGTATTTTAGAATAATATCAAGCATGCCAAATCTGTGGCCCTAATCTTGTATAATTGGAGAAAATTAAACGTTTTACTGTTTTCCATAAGAATTTTCGACACTTTGTATTAACGTACGTCAGACAAGTGAATTAATTTGATAACAAAAAAAATATATTTCCTCTTCCACTGCCTTCCAAACGAATCCAATATTTTTTCTTTCCACTTTTTAAATTTAATAATAATTTACATTTGCCCAAAACAAGAATGGATCACATGCGAGTTCCTCAATTCGCGATGTACGTAAATTTTGTTTTCTTTGAGTATTAAAGAAAACCTTAATGCCTGTTCAAACATATTGTACGTTGTTAATGTGAATGGGGCTTACTCCGAAAATTTTCCTTTTTACGTTATTATGCAATATAACCCCTTGTTATTTGTGGCATGTATGTTGCTTAGTTCATCGGCAATATTAATTCTTATGGCTTTTGATCAAATTTGGAATGCCGGCCGCTTGCTCGTCTTTTGCTTGTTTTTATTTGTTTAAACTTTGTATTTATGTAAAATATCGACCAATGTTCACAGCATGCAATTCAACTGTTCCCCTCAAGCTCCAAAGCCAATATCTCAAAGCAACGCGGCTTCGTAAAAATTTAACTGAAAAATTAAACATGTTGACCAAATGCAACGATCAAATTCTTTCTCTTCCAAATTTAATTTTTTTATCTTCGCCTGCGTCTGTGCCGATCTTTCACATCATAACATAGGATGGTGCTGACTTCAACATCGCCACATCATCGCTTCACGCACTGAGCAACAGTATGACCACGACTTCACCTGCCACGGACAAGCACAGTCCACATACATCGCCACGTTTCGCTCGACGCAGCACCACTCCCAGCGTACTTGCCGTACAGAATGACTTGTATGCTGGCCATGTACCGAATTTGACATTGGCAAACTCGAGTGCCAGTAATTACATAGTGGCCGCCAGCGCATCTGCTATATCCAGCGCCATACTTTCACCACAACCTGCATCCACTACAACGTCAATGAATACGCCTAATTGCGGAAATAGTAATGCAAATGTTGCTAGCGCGGCTCAAAAGTCTACCAATAGAATGAGCGCGCCACCTATGGGTACGAGCTCTGTCCATAATGGGGGCAATACTTCTAGCAACTATGTCACCAGAATGGCAACAAGCAAATCTGAACACAACGATAATTCATCGTATGCAATATTACAAGGTCTGCAAGAACCTATGGTCACACAAACACAGCAGCAGCAGTCAACCGGACCACGTCACGTGGCACCACCTTTGCCCCCGCGAAAGTCTTCACCAGGGGTCGACAATAGTTTTACAACAATTATTACTACAAGCGGGGTCACAACGCCAGTTGCAACTACTACAAGCGCAATAAGCAACAAATCCAGAGGGCAGTCTACAGCTTCAGATAACAGCTTATCGTCGAACATTGAGGGTGCTGCTGCACCACCGCAGACAGTTGCGCCACCAATACCGCCGCATGGTAACTTGATCATGGTTGATAGTACTGTGGAAGATTTAGGAACACAGCAAATCACTACAACGACCACAGCAACAATTACGCATTCCGTTTCAACACAATCAACACCTGGCTCTGTATCTGCAACTACGCCCACACGCTCTATACTCGACGACGATATAGTCGGTCCTGCAGAGACCATTATGGGCGTAATTGATACAAGACCATTAGAAGCACGTTTGGCCACATCAGCGAGGATATTAGAGCCGACAACGGTAAAGATGTCGAACGCTCCACATTACACGCAAATTTGTAATGCCACATCGTCAACGCAACCAAATGTAATTCCAACATCACTATCCAGTGGGGCGACTGTAGCATTGCCCGCAACGGTGGGCTTACAACGAACTCAACAACAAACATCACAATCAACCCAGCAGCCATTGAAGCAGCAACAGCCTTTACTTTATGAGAACGTGTCGCTCAATCAAAAAGATTGCAATGTACCATATGAAAACATAAACTTGGAATACATTGCACGACTTGTAAAGGAGGGCTACACCAAGGAGAACGCCATTACAGCGCTGGGAATTTCCCGAAACAATATTGAGATGGCTTGCGATATTTTGAGGGAATTCGTATCAAAAAGCACTGTTTGAAATGGACGAAGTACAAGTATGGAGTATGCTATTATATAATATAAAATCTAGTGCGCATTGAATGCAATATAACTTACACTTATACAAACATTACGATAGACATCATATTAGTCTCTAATAAATAAAAATTTAGGCATAGCGTTCTGAAAATTAGTGGAGCCATTGACCATTACTTGGCAAGATTAAGTTCGTAATGAGAGAGGGAATTATTATATTCTTTATAGATTGAATAATTCAAAGGATTTTATTTTCAAGTTGAACTAATAATGTTTTGTTCATTTTCGTTATACATATATATATAAAAAACTCGTATGCATAAATATGATATTAGATCCATTCTTTCATTAGCCCAACGCAAAAGAAAAGAACGTGAGGAATGCCGGAAAACTTAAATCTTCGAAGAAGTTTCTTACTTTCAAATAAAAACGTGTTACAAGTTTTAGGGTTTTTTTTTGTTTTTGTAAATAATTATTAAAAACTAGTCACACATGAGAACCACTTGTCACATATCTGACAAGGGTGGTAAGCAATGGGAAGGCGTGGCTATCATAAATATGCGTATTAACTGTATAACTTTAGTTCTGGAATTCATAACTGCAAAAGCATTCGCGTGCATTGCCACAATCATAAGCAATCCTCACAAATATTCAAAACGAAAAAGTGAAATAATGATCGATTAGAAGAAAATTTGAAATCGTAAGCGACTAGGAATTAACCAATCTACTATGAATATAGTTTTGAAATTTTAATTATAACAGTATATACAAACTTAACCCAATACATACACACATTTATAACATATTTATAGCAATCCAATTACATACATTTAAAGGTAAACTCAACTATTATACTGTATACAAAAAAGTTTAAAATTATTTATAAATGCATATTCATACACACATACCAACATATAAAGATAATTACGAATACATACATTTTCATAAGTACGAAATGTCATTAATCAAATCAAATAAGAATAAAAATTTAATACGAACCATTTTTGTGTCATCACTACAAGATATAACATTTTTAAATTGAAATTGCTCATTTATATGTCCAACAATATGAAACGTCATTTGCATTGATTTTTTGAAAATTACAATTTTTTTACCGCATAAACTAAAAATTTCACTTAGTTATTTGTTAATTTAATGAAATGTATTTATGATTGATTTAGTTGCTACCATAATGTGATCACTGGTAATAAATATATTTAAAAGTGCTATTATGGAATGAATCGTAATGGAATTGATGCCTTCAAACGTTCATGTTGGTTGCTGGTGCGGACTTTCAATATTTTCAGGCAGTAATATATCCTAATACCTTTCCCCATGTGGATGAGGTCCATGGTCACAATCCTATGATATTGTATATGAAGACAAATATGTGTATTGGTTAAGTTAAGCATGGGACCGCATAGTTCTTAGCAATCTGAAATGGATAAAGTGTTGAACTAATTTGAGTGCTCTGAAACTCCAATTTATGTACTCGTACGTAAGCTCCAAACGAAAAGCTCCTTTATATTCGGTTATAGTATGTCGAATGCAATTTTTCAATAAATCAAGAGTTTACTGTATCGTGATCTACGTTTTCTATACACTTCTAAAATGTTTCGAAAAATCTGATTAAAGACTCTGGTCAAGAAATGATTGAAGTGAAAATAGTTGAAAGTTCGTCCCTTTGTCTAGCATTTTTTTTTTTTCAGAATTAAAAGTATTTTCATAACTGTTAAAAAAAGGTGTTAAAGTTGAATAATCTTGCTGTGCCAATACTTTAGTTCATCACTGTATATATTCATCAATTCAATGCACGTTCAGCAAGTCTCCAAGATCACTTCATAAAATGTGGGATATTCAAATTAATACAGGAAAACTCTCTACTTATTCTTATACAATGCCTATTGTCCGATTTCACATATTATATTTACGATATCATTATAAATATTGTGAGCTCCAAGTTGTTCATTGCGCGAACAGACGGACACACAAAAATAGCTATGCATATCAATTTTTTTCTGCACTCTAAATATATTTACATACCTAACTAATTTCGATTATTTTATGCTGTTACATACAACTTTATCACTGCAAAGTCAAAATAACAAGTATAAAACAGCTTTGCTGTAAAATAATCAATTGAAATAACTACGTAACAAATGACGGTAAAAGTAATGTGGAGTTCTAGATACACAAACATTAATCACTGGCAGAACTTCGATACTATTGTAGTAATTGTTGATTATATAAATGTTTTATAAAATAAAAATGGTCCAATTTATGTTTTAGAATTCTAATGATTTTGTTACTCGTTCCTCAAAATTCGAATAATATTTTGAGTTACATATCCTTTTGTCGTAATTTCGAATAATTTTTTATTTTATTAAAAGCCAAATGAGCATGTTAACGAGGATTAAAGTAACTCAAAAGCAATCAAAATAAAATGGGTTTTGGGAGGATATGGAAAGAAAAAAGCTTACGTTTATAGTCAATCAAAGCAACAAAAATAATTCTAAAACTAAGATTGACCTCAAACAAAAAGAAACGATGTCAGAAACAAAATGACAAGAATTCATACATATAAATACCAGCAAAATACTCGTAAATCGGATATTAATAAATTTATCGATTAAGCAAACAAATCACGGCTACGACTTGTTACTGTTCAATATGTTCAAATCGCATGCAAAACTAAATTGATTCTTTTGAATAATTGATTCACAACATACTATATATGTATAACATATGTATAACAGTTAATGTAATAGTCGTCTTGATGTTTTTATATGCACTGACCTCTTTTTGGATGTTATAAAAACAATATTGAAGAAGCAAAATACATTTTTAATGATACAAATGTCATTACATACACATTCAAAATGCAATACTGTATACACTCATACATACATTCAAATGTGCATGTATACACACGTATATATGTATACATATATATATATATATATACATACTATATTTTCCATAGTCTTGCTAATAAACAGTTACTTAAGCAGATGCAATTATTCTTATAAATAAAACCGTATTTAATAAAAAGTATTCGTGTTTAATTTAACAATACTTCCGGATCCGTTTCGTCTCATTTCATCGCCTTCCCACTAACAATAAAACATGGATTTATTTTACTCCGAATCGAAGTACAATAGAAAGCGATATGGACAACAAAATTTTGGATTAGCCATCAAACGACCCATTGAGTAGGTATCCTTTTGGGCCCCTACCGTTGAGGTGGTATCTTTGTACTCGTAAATTCGCTGAAGTCTCTAAACGTTGCCGCCCCTATATAGTGCTTCCACCTACTCCTCCAAATTGCGGAGTATTCGCAAGAAAAGTATGTACCTTATGGTGTCAGGTTTCACCTCCTCTGAACAACTTCTACATAAGGCGATTAATGGTACGCCCAACAAACTTGCGTGTTGCTACCATTAACCGAGGTAAGCCCTCAATCTTTTATTCCACGTCGAACCCTAGTCACATCACTACATAGTATAAAACAAAGTCGCTTTCTCTGTCCTTATGGCTAATTTTCGAAGCGATTTTAACCACTACAGCATTAATCCTTAACTAATTAAATACCTTGAATACATTGTTCATTTAATATACCGTACCGGCCGGCCGCCCAGTGCGGCAAGAGCGTGCCTATAAATAGCGCGTCTGAGGCCGAGGTTTTCCAACCTTTGGCCACATGTCAATAAATTAGAGCTTAAAACTAATATGAGGGTTTCGTCATCTTCACGTGAGAACAGGCTATTTCCAGAGATGCTGCTAAAAGTTGGCAATGGAGAGTTAACACAAAGTGAGAGAAGGATTGACCTAAAAAATCTTTCCGTTTTGATAGACAACATCCAAGAGTTAGTCAACAATGTCTATCCTGACATTGACAACATAAGTTATAAGACAATATCTTGGTTTACAGAATGAGCGATTCTGTCACCAACTAACGAACAAGTAGATAAAGTAAATAACTTTATTCTTTTAAAGACTGATGCGCCGACGAAAATATACCACTCGGTCGATACTGTTCTCGATTTTGAAGAAGCTCTTCATTTTCCTACAGAATTTCTAAACTCTTTGAACCCGTCTGGACTCCCTCCTCAGAAATTGATGTTGAAAGTAGGTTGTCCTGTTATTTTATTAAGAAACCTGAATCCACCTAAACTTTGCAATGGCACGCGTTTGCTGGTAAAATAATTGAAAACTTTCATATTAGAGTGCACAATACTCACAGGATGTGGTACCGGAGAAAATGTATTGATTCCCCAAATCCCTCTAATACCATCGGATTTACCCTTCCAATTTAAACGTTTACAGTTTCCGGTAGAGACATCTTTTGCAATGACCATTAATAAATCGCTGGGTCAAACCTTCAACGTTGCAGGCTTAGATTTGAGCGTTGACTGTTTTTCACATGGACAACTGTATGTCGCTCTTTCAAGAGTGACCTCCAGAGAAAACATGTTTGTATTGTCTAATGACAAGAAAGCTGTGAACGTTGTTTATTCTGTAATATGTCGTAAAAATAAAATAAATAGTTCAAAATGTAAAAAATAATAAGTAAAAATGTAATGAAAGGAATTTAGATATTCCAAAGATAGCAGGAAATCTTCATGGTATAGGGAAAGGGGGATTGTTTTACTCCAGGTTCAATGCGTGCGGGCCACGAGCAGTAATGAATAAATAAAAAATTATGGATGGATTTTAATCACATATGCTATACATTTTATACGCCGCTATGTTTTTATATACAATACAACGTTCACAGTCTTTCTGTAGTGTGCATTGCACCCGTGCGAAGCCGGAGCGGGTCGCTAGTTGCATATATATTTTAGTTATTTGCGTCAGTTTTCTACCGTTTCTGCTGCGTGCTCCTTGGCTAATAACATTCTATTGGAAAGAAAGAGATAAAACAAATTTCGATTATAAATGTACATAAAATTTTTGCACGCATACATTTTTTTTTTTGATCGAAAAAATATCAATTTGAATTTTAACTGATCGGGATGCCTGACTTGCACCATACGAACATACTTTATTTAAAGTAAGTGGAACATAATAAATTGTTTGTCGAATAGATGCGTTCAGGGTCTACTAGGTTTTACACCCTACAACATGAGAAATCTTTGTGCAAGGTGCGCTAACCAACCATTGGGGATCCTTGGGTAACGGTTCAAAGGGAGGAAGCTTCAGTGCAGTCAATTGAAACAAACCGCCCGCTATATAAGCATGCCCATTTGATGCTTCCACTCTTCATGGGAGGTTGCGCAGTGGGTTCGGGACCCACCATGCAGAAACCAGCTCCCAAAAAATTAACAAAGCCTCGAATAAGAGCTTCTTATTACTAGGCCGACCACTGTAAGAGTATTAAGGACTGTGATTTGAGGATACGCACCTAGAATGTCTGATCCTTTAACAGGAAACCCCTACCCAACTGGTCGACATCCCCACAAAATAAGAAATATGATGAACTGACCAAGGACGAAAAATGTGGGTTCCTGTGACTTTTATTACTGTGGCCATATAATCCAGTGTAAAATTTGGTGTTGGATTCGTGGTGATAAAGTGACTCAGACCATTCAAAACTATTGTTAATATCGATGGACGAAGGTGTCGTCGAAATCCTCATGAGAGCGCATTTCCTCAACGTGTCACCCAACCAACTTTCTTTAAGTGCCTATGAGCGTCACGACATTAAAACAGTACGATCATCAATTCGAAAAACTCTAAACCAGATCGATCATGTTTTGACGCCGATCATGGAACTCTCTATAATTTGCTCTTGAAGGTGATTTTCTCAAGTTCGGAACACCAGACGGTGACCCCGCAGAATAGGATTGGTGTAACTACCGATATGTATGTCCAATGCACGATACTCGTTCTTCAACCC